GTTATTTACACATGAACATCCCCATTAATGATAGCAGGTTACACATGTTACATATGTCTCGTGGCCATTATTTTTGGAAAAAATGCTTCTAAAGCAGAGGGTAGGAAGAAGAATATCAGAATCTAGGATGATAGAGGCACTGTAGATTCTTAAGTGACTCAGCTCTTAGTAAAACATGTTAAAACTTACAATCCTTCAAAACATTAAAGTCATTTTTTTTTTTTTTTTGTCTTTTTCTTTTTTATCAGTACCAGGGATCAAACTCACGATCACACACTTGCAAGGCAGGCGCTTATGCCGCTGAGCTAAATCCCCAGCCCCTGTGAAGGTCATTCTTAAGCCAGGGTGCAATTTACATGGAGGGAAACTCACCCATTTCAGGTGTCACCCTGACTATTTATGTTCCAAATTGGGCTCCTTTTCTCTGTGTTGTTCTCTCGCTGCACAGTTGTATTTTCCCCTTACATCTAGTTGCCTGTGGCCCTGAGCTCTCATCTCTGTCCCATTTGATTGGTAAGGCTACTGGTCCTCCGGGTCCCTCACTGGTGTGCTGACATAGCTGGGAAATTGGATAGTATCTCTGAACTGAGAAGCCAAAAATGTATACTATTACTGTTTTCATTTGCAGTTTCTTTCCTCTTTTTTTTTTAAATGCTTTTTTACTTTCTCCTATATTTTGGACATTTATTTTCCAGGTTTTAAACAGGAAACTCAGCTTACAGTACTGTGACAGAACTGAGTGATCCTGTGAACTCCCAACAGATAAAATTATAAAAACTAGTACTGTAAGCTGAGTTTCCTCCTGGAAAACATTTTGTATTAAATACTTTGATATGGCTGTGTTCATGTGCAACAGTATTAAGTTTAATATTTTTGATCATGGTTTCAAAAATGTGTATGTTTTAGAAATATTGCCTTTAAAGTTTTTTGGCATAAATAAGGTCTCTTTCTCATTCTTTATTCCATCACTATTGCTTTTTTAACCCATTTCCGAACCTGATTGTTATTGTTTCACAAGTTCTTGTTGAACTTTGCTAGCCTGTTGTTTTGCTCAATTTCATATTGGAAATTAATTTTTATAAAGTAAAATTTTGTGGCGATTTTATTTTTGTTTGTTTATTTTGGTTCTTTGAGACAGGGTCAGGCTGGCTTTAAACTCACTCTGTAGCCTAGGGTGGCCTCAAATGCATGTTGATCATCCTGCCTCAGCCTCATAAGTGCTGGGATCACAAGTATGCTCCAGCACACCCCGCAGTTTCCTATACATTTTAGATTTATTTTTGTAGCAAGATAGAAGTCATATGTTAAAACATAGTTTGAAGGATGTAGCTATTTATATATTTACTTTTTTCCTAAGTATATATGGAGACCATCTATATTATTTTTACTATTTGTTTGCTCCCATCATTCCCTTAAACCCCTTCCTGTGACATCATCTGTCCCACAAAGCTACAATGAGCTCCTTCCACTGTCCCTTTGCTCATATTGTCGTGTCTTCCAGAGTCTCCCTTACTGATGTTTACGTACAGCCTGTTGAATGTCTCTCTTTTAAATATGATTTCCTTCATTAAATAGTTCTGTCTTGCTGCTTTCCCTTTTGAATTATTCTGTGTTCCATCATTTATTTCATCTTTGAATACAGTTATTTTTTCCTTAGTCTTCTTTTTAATAATTTGTTGTTTCTCCAATGTATAATTTATGTATCATAGACGTATTGACTATAGTAACTACCTTAAATTTAAACTTCTTTGTAAAATGTTTTTGCAAAGGTCTTTTGGCCATGTATTAGTTTTCTTACCAATGTAAGGCCGTAGGGAAAAAGGGCAATTGTAAAGTCATACATAACTGTAGGACAGTTATGCCAACTCATTTATATTAACCACTATTACATTGTTTAATATTAACACTAAACAGGGCCCATTCTCTCTGTTTAGTAGAGTGAACACAGAAGTTAGACTCATTCAATCTGCTAATATGTTTATACTTCAGAAAACATGGAAATAACAGTTCTTACCATTTGTAAGGTAGCTTGCATGTGAAATTTCAGGAGGGGGGTTGCTGGGGATTGAATCCAGGGCCCTGTGCATGCAAGGCCAGAACTCTGCCACTGAGCCACATCCCAGCCCTGAAGTTTTTATTTATCCTACACTTTTACTTGTAATTACTAAGGTAGCCAGAGAAAATGCCCTGAAAATAATTCCCTTACTACCAGTTAAGCTTCTAGGAGACTGTAGGTTGGCATAAATTTAACACATTACCAACTTAATTCTAACAAGGGTTTTTTGTTTTGTTTTGTTTTGTTCTTTGTCATTTTGAAACAGGGTTTCACTCTGCAATTCAGGCAGGCACTTTGTAGCCCTGCTGGCTTCTGTCCTTTTGCCTTAGCCTCCTGAGCTGGATGACAGGTGTATGCACCTGTGCCTGGTCTTCTAACAAGGTTTTGTGCATTTGATTTTGGTGACTGAGAAACTTGCATGGAGATTTTCTGATCCTGATAGGAACAACTACCTTGTATTTTAGTTAAGATCAGCTAGAAGGGCCAGGGATCTACTTTAGTGGCACAGCACCTGCCTGGCAAGTGCAAGGTCCTGAGTTCAATTTCCGGTACCAAAAAAAAAAAAAAATCAACTAGAAATAACTTAACCCAGAAGTCCCAATTTATGTACACATTGAACAGTAACTTCTTTGATTCCTTCAGAAAGTATTTACCTGTCATTTCTTGAGCCCTGAACATTGCCACTATTGAGGGAAAAGAGGTTTCACATGTCCAGATTAAATTGGACATAAAATTGCACCTAAAAAATAAAGATTGTTAGTTGTTTACTCTTCATAGTTAAGCTTTAGTAACCTCTTCTAGGAGCCTAACTCTATTTATAAAATTGTTTATATGTATATTTCTAGGCCTCAAACATCTGATTTAGTAGTAAATTTGACATACAAAAACCCAGAAATTAGGGCAATCTGTTTTAGTTATTTTTTTCCATAGAGATAAACTGTGCAACAAACTTGCGTTAAAGGAAGAAAGGTTTATTTTAGGCTCATTGTTTGAGGAGGTCTCAGTTCATAGTTGGCTGGTTCTGGGACAAGATAGCAAGGCAAAGGGCATCACAGGAGAAATAGTTCATAAGAGGCAGCAAGCAGCCGCAGCAGCCACAGCCGCCCTCTTTCTATCTGTACATCCTGTCCAGGCTGCCCATCTTTAGGGCAATTAGCACTCATACCCAGGGTGGGGCAGTTTTAATCCTCGCATCATACCCTTTGTGTGTGTGTGTGTGTGTGTATGTGCGCGCGCGCACGCGCGCGTGTGTGCCGGGGTCAAACTCATGACCTTGTCTTTACCAGACAAGTGCTTGAGCCACTGAGCTAAATCTCTGGCCCTCATCACACCCTTGATCCCAGCATCATCCATCCTAAATCCAGCCACATCCAAAAAAACCTTCCCTGCGACCTCAGGAGGTTTTGAGGGGACACCTATATATAAGCCATAATGCCACTTTCTATTGCACCAAAAGTTTGTTTAAAGTGTTTATTTAAAATTTTAAATTGGGGCTGGCATGGTGGTGCATGCCTGTAATCCCAGCACTCTGGAGACTGAGGCAAGAGGATCACCACAAATTTGAAGCTAGCCTGGGCTACATAATGAGCTGAAGGCTGGCCTGAACTACATAGAGAAACCCTGCATCAAAAAACAAAACAAAACGAAATGAAATCTTAAACTGAGCAGTAGTCATTAACTTTATTGCCTAAATCAGAACGTTTCTCAGAAAAAGCACATTAAAATCATTTTTATTTATTCAATCATCAATTCTGCAAAATTTTTTATCTAATTACATGTATGTGCCAAGTACTAATATAAGTACTATGGGTAAAACTACATGAAATGATGTTCTTAGCTTCAGGGATTGTACATTTATTGAGAGAATATCCATAGGATAAAGTAGAAGTTCTACAAACTTTCCCTATTTCATATGTAAAATACTGTTGTAATGGTACAAATAAAATGGTAGTATATTACTCTGCTCCTGTAGTGTAGCATTATAGGCTTATGAAGTGATTGATGATGTAACCACTACTTATGTGGCAATTACTGTGAGCCAGGTTATATCCTAAGCGCCTCATAAATACATGAGCTTGTTTAATCTTTGCAAAAACCCTATAAGGAATGGTTATTACTGTCCTCATATACAGAGAGACAGAATAAGGTGCAGAGAGATTGCATCCTATGTTATTTAATGACTATTATAATTAGGATTTGGGTCTATGGCAGTTTGACCGTAGCCATCTGTCCTTTGACCGCTCTGCCATCTTACCTTTTAAAATTGACATGGCAGCAGTTTTATATGCCTTGCTTTTGTCCCAGGAATCACTAAAGCCTTCTTATTTCTCCAGCAGTTCAGGTTATTTTCCCGTGTTCCATACCAAAGAAAGAACAGTTGAATAACAGGCATTTTCTCTTTCTGACCTGTAACTAAATAAAATTAAGAAACAAATGTTATCTAATGTCAGTGTTTTTTTATCAGCTCTTACTCATCTTTACCATTAGTTTTAGTTTTATGTCGGCAAAGTCCAGAGTAAATTATTACAAGGTTGTTACAGACCTGCAATTTATAAAAGTCAGTAGTTCAGTAGCAAAATTGGTAGCTTCCAGTTAATCTCCTTTTTAAAATTATACAAAACAGTAAGAGAAAAAAAGAAAGCAGAATAAAGTCATAGACTCTGCAAACCAGATAACTTCTGAAGCATCAACAGTTACATGAATTTGTTTAAGGACTTTGTAATCTGATTTCACTTATCTTATGATTACATCTTTGTGTTATGTGCTGTTTGAAAATGTTAATTTATTGATCTCTTTTTCTTTTATTTTTTAGTATACTGTGTGGAATTTTGTTCCAAAAAATTTATTTGAACAATTCAGAAGAGTGGCAAACTTTTATTTTCTTATTATATTTTTGGTTCAGGTAAGCTTTATCATCTGGTCATTGTGTGTAAATGTGGTTTCTAAAAATATGTCTTAAAACAGAGAAAGATTGCGATTGTTTTCTTAATCATTTTACCCCAGGACCATTCTTTTTCTACAAAGCTTTCCTATTATATTCAGTGAATAAATAACCTAAATCGCATCTAGATTTCTAAAATATAATCTATGAGTTTTAAGACCAACTGTATTTTGTTTTATTACTTGTGTACTATAGTGTTGATAATTATAATCTAAGCCAATCATTTTTCAGATGCTGTCTCAGCACATAACTATTTTGGCTTTTAACATACTATGAGTATTATTAGCAAGCCTGCTTATGGACAAAGTACATTTTAAAATTTAAGTTCAGTTTTATATGGGAACATTTGTGTACAATATTTCTTTTTTAATCTAAATTTTATTTTATCTGGGAGCAGTGTGATGTATCTTTACTATCAGCTACTTGGAGGAGGCTGAGGCGGGAGGGTTACTTGAGTTTGAAGCAGCTTGAGCAACATAGCAAGACTCATCTCACACAAACAAATCAGTAAATTTTGCTTTAATCTAGAATTTTTAAAACAATTCTAATTTTTAAGCACCCCATGAATATAAATTCTTACATTGGCGATCCTTTTCTTAGCTTGAATCCGTCCGTGTTCATAGGCTCTGACAGCCTTTCACATTGTGCTTTTTTTAATATGTCAAGTTGTCAAGAGAAAAGCCCATGGAATTTGACTGTAAGTCAAGATGTAAAAATAGCAAGTATTTTCCTCTAAGGAGGTAATTCTTTTCTGAAAAACCTTAGCTATTTCTTTCAGTATGACATTGAATTTTTGTATAAGCTCTGAACCTTTCTCTCAGTAGAACCAGGGATTTCAAAGAGGAAATAGTCAAGTAATCATTTTTTTTCTTTTTCTTTCTTTTTTCCTTTTTTTGTGGGGGGCGGGTACTGGCAATTGAACTCAGGACCTTACACTTGTCAGGCAGGCATTGTGCCCCTGAGTTATATTCCTGGCCCCATAGGTAATCATTTTAAAGCTTAAGAAAACATTTACTTTTCTGAAAATTTCCTTTCTGTCATAAACAAAAGGAACTTCTGATTTTATGTCAGTGGAGCATCTACTTGGTTTTCTTAGAAAAGTGAGAAATTATACCAACCACACCACAGAGTCTGCATGCACTGTGATCAGGAACTCAGCATGTCTGTGGAACAGAACAAATGTAATTGGCCTATCCAAAGTAAGAGCACATTAATAAATCATCAGATCAGTGTTCCAGATACCGTGTAATTACTTCAAATACTTTTTCCTGGCAGTTTATTCAACTTCAGTTGTGTGATTTACATTATAATCATAACATCATTTTTCTAGCTATCTTCCTCTGACTCTGGTGGAACAAAATCACTTGGAGAGGGGAAAAAAAATCTTTTCATATTCCTATTCCTAGTTCCTTCTCCCCAGTGTTAGGTTTATTCTGAACCCTAGGGTAAAAATTGCCGACAAAGTGTTTAGCATTTTTTCAGGATGTGCAAAGAAATGTGAAATGAGAATTGAGCAGCTGCATCGCGACGCCTTGGAAATACTGAGGTGGAAATTTAGCAGCCTGTGTATTGAGAAAGCAGGCTGACTGACAACGCTGGCATATGTGTAGATGTCCAGTAAACTTAAATATTCTTCCAATCCGAGATACAGTCAACAAAATAAAATTGTGAACTCAGGTATACTCCCTGCATAATAGTATTGACATTGTAAATATTAATAGCATGACATATACAGTATGAAAATATAATACTCTGCATTTCTTTAAATCTAGCTTATGATTGATACACCTACCAGTCCAATTACCAGTGGACTTCCATTATTCTTTGTGATAACAGTAACCGCCATAAAGCAGGTATGAAATGCTTCCTATTATTGTTGTTTTCCCCCATTCATTGAGAAAATTGTAAATATTTTCACTCCATTGTAATGTGTATTGTTACAAAAATAATTTCCATAAGAAAACAGCAAATTTGTTTGATGCATAATAAAATTAAACTAAGCCACTATTTCAGGTGTCTGATGACTCATGAATGGTTACTGCTTTTAAAGTATTTATTACCTTCACACAGCCAGGCATTACCTAAAAACAAGAATTATGTGTACAAGATAATTTACATGTGAAACATTATTATAATCAACATTGTGGGGTTTGGTGATATTTAAAGGAAGTACAATTCCAAAAAGATACATTTATGTGATAAATTTTCATTTTATAAGATGTAAGGATATGGTATATATAGATTGACATGGAAATAAAATTGACAAGATTCTTTAATTTCTGGAATGAAATACTATTCTTTATCACATAGAATGAGAGGAGCCTATAGATTAATAATAAACCCAAGTTATAAATAAAGAACAAAATGAAAGATAGATATAGGGAGATAGATCTAGGAGATAGATATCAAAAGATCTCAAATGGGAAGGCAATCAAGAGATGGGGGGGGAAGGGAGAAAAAAAGGAATTAAGATGTGTTATGTACATACACCAACTCCACACAAGGGTCGTAAACATGTACTGCACACATGTACTGATGGAAATACTTTTTTTAAATGAAGTAGCCATTTTGGGGAGACAGGTTGTCTAAGGTAGTTGGGAACTGGAGTTGTAATTGATGCTTCATTTCCATGCAAAACTTTCTTTAATACATACAGGTCTGTTGTATATAAAGTCTGTTCAACTGATTAAAGCAATCGTGTAAAGAACTGCATTAATCTTTTAGTGTGTCAGAATATTATGCCACAGTACTCACTAAGTTACTAACTTGTTTTTGCAGATGTCATTTAATCAGAGTAACACAGATTTGTCCCTTGGACCTCTTTTCTGTATATATGTCCTTCCTAGGTGATTTGATCCAGTCTGGTCGTTTAAAGTAGTATCTATACATTATAGTTATTATTAAAATCTACACCATGATTATCAAATCTGTACACTGATGGTTTCTGTCCTGAAACTATTCTTTGAACTCCCATACACACATATACAGATCTTTGCACAAAATTTCCACCTGTACACCTCAGAAGAATCTCAAATGCTGTTTTCTTGTTAAAGCTGTACTACTGTCAGTGGTTCCCCACTTTATTAATAGCACTACCGTGTTTCTACCTCATCTTTTGAGTGCTTTTATCTCTACCTACAAGATCAGCCCCATTAGCCCATGTCACCAGCCTTAGCCCTTGCCTGGACGTCGCATTCTTCTGAGGATCCCTCTGTCCCTTTCCTGCCCCCTACTGATTCCATACTGCAGAAAGGTTGGTCTCTTAGAATTAGACCTGCTACTCTTCCACTTAAAACTCTTCCGTGGTTTCTTACCAGACTATCAAAACACCACTCTAGTGATTGGCGAAGACATAAACAGTTTAGCTTTTGGTTCCTGCATTTATCATTCGTCCTCTTACTTGCTGTTCTCCAGCCACATTCCTGCCACTGCCCTCGAACACAGTGCACATGCTTGTAACTCATAGCCAAATCACTTGACACTCTGTCTTTCTGAAAAGGTTTTCCACCAGATATGTGATGGCACAGCTCAGTCCCTCATTTTACTTGGATTCTTGTACTTTGGCTTTTTGGGGCCCGTGCTCTTCTCTCATTGCCTCTAGTCCTTTTCTTCATCATGACCTCATGTTCCAGTGAATAATTAGTGTACCTGTCATTTTTGTTGAAACATGTTTTATGCTCTGTGAGGGCAGAGACTTTGTTTTATATAATTATGTCAAAGAGCCGGAACAAGGCCATATACATGTAGAGGCTTCAATAAAATATTTGCTAAGTGAATGAATATGAGGGAATGACCTTTCTGAACATTTTTAAAGCACAATACTTCTTGCCGTTATTTTCTAGCATATATTCCCCAGATATGAACTGCATTTAGTTAGAATGTCATACCATTAACTGAATTGAAAAAAATTACAGTGAATACTTATCTGAACAATAATTGTTTTAATAGTAATCGAAAACCTGCCTTCCTCAGAAATGGGTTAAGTAAAAATGCATGAACTCTCAAGGTGTGAACCAGAAAGATTGTACCTCAAATGGGTGCTAGTATAGTTTTTGTAGTTGAATACTAAATTGAGATGAGAGGCTCCTGGTAGTTCAGGGAAAAGGAAAAATATAAATGGTGGTAGAATTTTCAAAAAGTATATTTGATCTGTAAGGATTTTCTCCCTTTCTCAAAACAGAATTTCAGGTTTAGCATTTTCTCTTGTGCAGCAGCTGTTCTTAAGTCTGTTTGTCTTACTTATTTATTTCTTGGTACCAGGGATCAAACCCATGACCTTACACTTGCCAGACAGGCACTTATGCTGCTGAGCTACATCCCCAGCCCCAGTCTTACTCATTTAATAAACACAAAATGCTTCAACATATTGTTCATATTTGTATGTGTATCATTGTAGATCGATAGAACAAATTTTAGAAAAATTATGCTGCATACCTTCCTTCCTTTATTTCCTTTTTTAGTCTGCCTTTTAATAGTTTAACCGAAATAGGAAAGGCTGTATTATCAATTATTGTTAACTTTTCCCAACTGTATTTGAAAGTCATATTTTATAATGGAAAATACAGTGCTGTGATACATAAGATAGTCTTTGCTCTCTGTGAGCTTACAAATCTATAAATTAGAAGGGTAAGGCCCAAATTTAAAGTAATTGAGTACTACAGTAGTAAGATCACTGTTCAGAGGCTGAATGGAACACGATACCTGGATGACTGGGGAGGATCTGGTGGAGTAATTACTAAGATGTGTGTTCAGTGTGGATAAAATGACAGTTGATGAAGAACATAGGAGAGAAACAACTTGAGCAAAAGCCCAAATTCAAGAACAGGTAAAGGCAGGCCTGTTGTTTGGGTAAATTGTAAGGCTGACTGATGTTTGAGCCTGTCTAGGAAAATATTAAGAGATAATTCTAAAAATGTGGGTTGTTACTAAATTAAGGGAGCTAAAAGGTTCTGTTCTCTAATCATTGAATCATTGAAGAGGATTTGAGCAAGATAGTGAAAGCAGTGTTTGGGGAAGATTATTCTGGAGGTAATATGTACAATGAATTAGAATTTTTATATATATACACACACGTACTTTTTTTTTTTGGTACTGTGGATTGAACTCATGACTTTATGCTTGTCAGGCAGGCACTTGTGCCATAGAGCTAAACTCCCAGCCCCTAAAATTTATAACTTTTAAAAGGCATTTTATTATTACCGCCCTACTATTGATATCATCAGACTGTAAAAGAAACTGTACTTTCTGACAGTTTCCAAAAGGTTGTTTTGACTCTCAGTTAAATTTTTCTGAAACCGGGGCTGGGGATTTAGCTCAGCAGCATAAGCACCTGCCTTGCAAGCAGGCAGTCGTGAGTTCAATCCCCGGTACCGATAAAAAAGAAAAAGACAAAAAAAAATTTCTGAAACTGACATATTGAAGTTTAAATGGGGCCATTATAACGTAAGTATTTTAAGAGTTCTTTCATAAAGATTTTCCTCTGAAAAAGACAACCTTTAACATTTTGCTTTATGGTTTATAGTATTTCAGTATTTTAAAATAATGCGTATATTTTTGGGGGGGGTACTGGGAATCAAACTTGGGACCTTGCACTTGCAAGGTAAGTACCGTGCCATGCCCCACATTTTTTTTTAAACAAAAAAAGTCTGTTTCATCTTTTAGTGATGAACAACCTATATATGCAGCTATAAATTTTTTAGTACTAAGGTTGAGTATCCTTTGTTTGAAATGTTTAGGACCAGAAGTGTTTGGGGATTTAGCTCAGCAGCTCTCACGCTTGCCTGGTAAGTGCAAAGTTGTGAGTTCGATCTCTGGTACCAAAAAAACTGAAGGTATGAATCAAGAACAGCTCCACAGATTTCTGGCATGAGCAGCTCCATAGATACAGATGTCATAGTCAAGATGGGGAATATGAGAAATGCGAGAATTTGATGCTAAAATCCTAAATTTAGTTTTGAATGCATTTAAGGTATTTATGAGATATCATAATGAAGATGTTAATAATGCAGTTATTCAAGTTTAGTATTCAGAAGGGAAATAAATCAGATCCAAATTTAAGAATTACCAGTGTACTTTACCATTTCAATGACAGGACAGGAAGAAAGCATCTAGTGAGAGTCAAGTGTGAAGAAAATGTCCATAAGTGTGCTATCGAGGGAAGCTTTGAAAAAGAAACAGAGAAATTACTGAAGAGGTCCTGTGAAAAGCGGTCATGTGTATATAGTGAACACTTAAGAGGGAAAAGTGCTTCCCTGCCTTAGTGCGTGTGTGTAGTCCATGGTAACTACGTTCATGGCAGGGGCGTGCATTCAGCACATCTTCCTGATTTTTACTCCCCTGTCCCATCTTCTCCCTCCATCTCCTGGTCTCCTTGCCATTTGAAAAAGATTTATCTCTTTTTTCCTGTTACCTTTCTTGTATTTACTCTTTATTTATTTATACTTTGGGTTTCTTGTATAAGAGAAAGATTGTAATATTTAAGCTTTTGCATCTGATTTATTTCACTTAACATTACGGTCTCAAGGTGCATCTGTTTTCCTACAAGTGACTCAGATTTACCCTTCGTTATGGCAGTGTAGTATTTCATGGTGTATAAATACCACATTTTCTTTATCCACTTCTCTGTTGATGGACATACAGACCACTCCAAGATTTAGCTAGTATGAGTTGTTCTACTTTAAACATGAGTACCTGCATGTATCAGTATATCACTGGTGTCTTTAATTCTTTTGGAAAGATAACCTAGAAAGGGAACTGTGAAGTCAAATAGAATTTTCTTCTTTTCAGTTTCCATACTGATTTCCTTAGTGGTTATGCTAGTTTCCATTTGCAGCAGCCTCACCATTTGCTATTTGATTTACTGATGATAGCCATTCTTTCTGGGGTAAGGTGGAATTTCACTGCTATTTTAATTTGCATTTCTCTAATGCCCAGTGATGCTGAATATTGTTTTCATATACTTATTGACCTTTGCAGTTGCCCATTTCTCATTAGGTTTCTGAGTTTCATATATATATAATTCATATCCTAGATGCTAGTCCTCTGACTAATGGGAAACATTTTCCCATTCCATAGGTTGTCTCTTCACATTGTTGGTTAGTTCTTTTGCTTTTTTAGTTTTATATAACCCCACTTGTTGATTCCTAATGTTACTTCTTGTACAGTTGGAGTTCTTTTCAGAAATTCCTTCCCTGTTCTCATTTATCTTCTAGCAGGTTGTTTCTGTTTTCCTATTTAAATCTTCGATTCGTTTTGATTTTAGTTTAGTACATGGTGAGAGATGAAGGTCTAGATTCAATCTTCTGTGCACAGCCAGCTTTCCCTGTCAGAAAGATCAGATTACTGTGTGCTCCTGGGGTTGTTTCTGCATCCTTTATTCTGCTCCATTGATCCATGTGTCTGTTTTTTTGCTAGTACCATGCTATTTTTTATTACTGTAGCTTTATAATACAGCTTACAATCATAGTTGTCATTCTTGGCTTGCTTTTGATGCCCAGAATTGTTCTTGGTATTTTCGTGTCTTCTGGTTCCATATGAATTTTAGGATTGTTTTTTCCCTCTGGTTCTGTGAGGAATACTGTTGATATTTGGAATGGGACTGCATTAGATCTAGGTATTACATTCTTCTTGATGCTATAGGGAATGATATTATTTTTCTAATTTCTTTCTTGGTGGGTTCATTATTGGTGTACGGGAAGGAATGCTATTGAATTTTGAATGTTGATTTTGTATCCTATTTTGATGAATTTATTTTAATTCTAGGAGTCTTGGTGGAATTTTTTTAGGTCTTCTATGTAAAAGATCATGTTGTCTGCAAATAAAGACTCCAGAGGGGAATGAATGTCAAATACTTACAAGCAGATGCATCAGAATAGCCTAGGGTATTCTGCTGAACACTGTTTGGGGGGAGTTCTTGTTGCTTTCTTTTCTCATTTGATAAAAATAATTTTATACTGGAAAGAGGATTTTTTTATTTTGATATTTTCAGGGTTATGAAGATTGGTTACGACATAACTCAGATAATGAAGTAAATGGAGCTCCTGTTTATGTTGTACGAAGTGGTGGCCTTGTAAAAACTAGATCAAAAAACATTCGGGTATGTATTGTAAACAAGAGAAAATTCTATTGATATGGCACATAATTCTAGTCTTGATTATATTTTAGTTAAAAAATCTTTTATTTTTTTAACAGTAAATCACTAACAGAGTCGGAGGCATGTCTCAAACTTACATAGCATACTTGAGACCCCAGGTTTGATACCCAGCACTGCAAATATTAACAATTTAGGCCACTTATGTAGAAACCAGTAAAAATGTCTTTGTCTTTTAAAACCTGTATATTCACATTTCCCTTGAATTCTTTACAGGTGGGCGATATTGTGCGAATAGCCAAAGATGAAATCTTCCCTGCAGACTTGGTGCTCCTCTCCTCTGATCGGCCCGATGGTTCATGTCACGTTACGACTGCTAGTTTGGATGGAGAAACAAACCTAAAGGTTTGTTTGTGTGTATGTCTGAAGGTGGAGTGATAATGATATTTTCCATTGGTTGAAAAAATAAAGTATGACCTGATAAAGGCGAATTTTTAAACTTACTGATAAATACATTTAAAAATTATGAAGTTTTTACAAAGTGGTTTGCTTTGGTTTGGTTTGCTTTGGTTTGAGACAGGATCTTGCTCTGTAGTTCAGAACTCACTTTTTAACCCAGGACGGCCCTGAACTCATAGCTATCCTTCTGCCTCAGTCTCCCAAGTGCTGGGGTTACAGGCATGTATCACCATGCCCAGCTTTTTCTATTTGTTTGTTTGTTTGTTTATTTGTTTGTTTGTTTCTGAGATACAGTCGTGTTGGGTAGTTCAGGCTGGACTCACTATGTAGTCCAGGCTGGTCTTTCTTTTCCTTCTTTCCTTCCCTCCCTCCTCTTTCTTTCTTTCTTTCTTTCTTTCTTTCTTTCTTTTTTTCTTCTTTCGTTCTTCAGGCTAGTTTTGAACTCACAGCAGTCCTCCTTCCTCAGCTTCCTAGTACTGGGATTGTAGGCACACACCACTGTGCCTAGTTAAATATTTTTTAAAAAGTAACTTCATATGATTTTGTTAGTTCAAGCTGGAAATGGAAAGTGTTTTTAAGAAAAATATCTTTTAATATTTTTCATGAGTTTTTTTAGTTAAGGGACAAATTGAAATTTTCTGTTTCAGATTATTGTCAAGTCTAAAAGTTCACTTTTTATCATATGAAATTGTTTATAATAAACTTCGAGCAGTAGTGAATATGCATAGACTTAATTTCCTTTTGTGCAGATAGCCTCTGTAGACAGATAATGCCAGCAATCCCTTTGCTCTGTTTTATACTCCGGGTTCTATCTAGCTGAGTGATCTCAAATACAGTATGATAAGACTGCATCTGTAAAAGAGATTTCAAGTAGAAAGTGATGTCTGCAGGATACGTTTGGATATAAATTCTTTTTTCTTTTCTTTTTTTTTCCCCCCAGACACATGTAGCAGTTCCAGAAACAGCAGTATTACAAACAGTTGCCAATTTAGACAGCCTGATAGCTGTAATAGAATGCCAGCAGCCAGAAGCAGACTTGTACAGGTAGGTGTGATAGTTAGTGTATTTTTAGTCCTTCAGACAGACCTATGGTTTGCAACCATGTCTACTTTTCTATTACCTATTTTTCTTTATAAACTAGTGTGCTTACTTCTTAGTTATAGTAGTATATAGACATTAGATTATTTCTGTAGAATAATTCTAATGAGTTTTTTTAAGCTACATGAAGTTGGGGTTATGTCTTTGTGGTCACCATCGTATAGAAATAATTACTTTTAGAGTCTTATGTATGATTTACATAGCTTTCAGGAGTTTACATCTATAACACATGATAAAGTACAAAAATAAAATTTAACATAAATATTATCTTGAAGTCCTAAGTTCCTTAAGGACAGAAACTGTTTGTATCTTAGCACCTATCACAGTAAGCACAAAGTAAAAAAATAAATTTTTTTAGTGTATTACATTTGTAAAGATCCTATTGAAAAGAGCATAGAAACTTTACCATTATCTTGCTAAGTTTTTGAGTCATTATTCACTGATTCCCCCTATTACTGTGGACTATGGAATGCAAACAGCTGTTTACTGAAGACATGAAAGCACTCAGCTCATTTCTGCACAGTAACTAGTAGACTAAACTACAAGCATATTGAAAAAAATCTCCTCTAGCTTTTTGTACATGTCTCCCCCTGTTGGTTGAAATAGTTCAAAATCTTATCTTTAATCACTGGCAACTTTTATATGTGTTCGTTTTGCATCCATATCTTTATAATGGAGGAGTTCCCTGTCCAGTGTTATAAAAACCTTGCATTTTTATAAAAGTAAAACATAGCACAGAATAGCATAGCACAGAACTTCTCAGTTAACTAAACTATTTGGAATCCTGTGCATTAGGAACATGTAAACTGTAAGGTTAAGATTTCTCTATTGCTATTATGTCCTAGACATAGGCCACTGCAAAAAAAAATTATTACAAACTAGAAAATGATGAAGAACTAAACAAGCATAAGATTAATATGAAATGAAGTATTAGTAATGCTTTGGTCTATGGTTTTTGTTTGTTTGTTTAGTTTTTGTTTTTGAGACAGGGTCTTGCTGTGTAGCGCAGGCTGGCTTTGAACTCATGGCAGTCCTCCTGCCTCCAAAGTGCTGGGGTTATAGGCATGTGCCACCACACCCAGTTTTGGTCTGTGGTTTGGAAAATGAGGGAAATTTTTTAAAACTTTTTTTAAACAGTATCGGAGATTAAATCCAGGCCTTTGCTATGGACTGCATCCTCAGGCATTTTCTTGTGTCTTGTTTTGAGACAGGATTTGTATTTCTGTTTTGACTGATTTTACAGTCACTAAGCTGCTCAGGAATACTTGGAATACTGCCCGAGATTCCCAGCATACATAAGTTATAGGGGCGCTACTGTTTGGTTTTTGTTGATTGGGTTATTTTTTTAATTATGTTTTATTTGTTTGTTTGTTTGTTTGTTTGTTTTCAGTACTGGGATCAGACTCTGGATAATCTACCACTGAGCTACCCCATTTTTTATTTTTAGGTTAAGAATTTGCTAAATTGTCAGGACTATTCTCTTGTGGTCCTCCTGCCTTAGCCTCCCAAGTGTCTGGAGTGATCAGCATACATTACCACAACTGCCCTAATTTTTATTGTGTGGTCAAAGTATCAGTTTATGTTATTTTCTTCTTGTTTCGAAATTTTACTAAAATTAGTAATTGCTAATTCATATTTTTAAACTACTTTCAATTTGTATTTTCTTATTATAAAGATAAACCATTTTCTTGTGTTTTAGGTTTTTTCCCCTTAAAAGGAACATTATTATTTCTTTCTCAATTGCATGTTTATTATTCCTCCTAAAAACATATTATTCCTCTTAAAAATTTTTAATAGCTTATCAACAGAACATATCATACCTGAGTGTGGTAAAGCACACCTATAGTTCCAGCATTCTGGGAAGCTGGGGCAGGAGGGTCACAAGTTCAAACCAAGCCTGGGAATTTAACAACTTAGTGAGACTCTGTCTCAGAGTAGTGAAAGAAAGAAAGCAAAGGAAAGGACTGGAGATGGAGCTTCGTGTGAAAGCCCTGCGTTCAGCCTCTGCTGCCGCACAGAGAGCGGGAGAGAGAGACACTTGCTAGTAGGTGATTCTGGTGAGCTGCAGAAAGAAGTAAAGCCTAGAGCAGCCTTCTGTTCAGGCAACCTCTAGCATGTGCTTGCCACAGTAGCCCCCACTCTCCCTCTTCTCTGTCTGTCTGTCTGTCTGTCTGTCTCTCACGGCTTCTCTCTGCTTTAGTACCCTCTCTTGTGTTTCCATCCCTTTATGTTTTAGACTCCTGACTCAACTCTTTCACAGCTATGAATTTTTATAGCAAAATAATAAAATTCCATTCCTAGGAATTATCTTAAAAGTGTGGAAAGATGTATACCCAACCAGGGCAAGATATTATTTAGCCTGTTCATAAGTTGAGGGGGCGGACTCTACACTTTCCATCAGTAGTGATATAAATGAATTATACAGAAACAAAAAATGCTTATTATATATGACTACTAACAATAGTAATGTAGATACAAGTTTTTGGTAGAGCATGTTACCAACAATATTTGTGATACGATCCTGTTTTTGTTTGTGAGATCTGTATATATGTATATGTGTGTATGTACAAAAAGTGCCTGAAAAGCATACCCCAAAATACTAGCAGTATTTATATTTAAATGGTTGGAATACCAGCTATTGTTACTTCCTTTTTATGTCTTTGTATAGTATCTGAATGGTTTTATAAAATATGTGCATTCTTAAATGTGAATGTGAATGTAGTCTTTAAATCAGAAAAGGAAATAAGAAAGTTATTCCTGACCGGCGCAGCCCCCCCAATGAGACAGAGGACGCTCTTGTTGGTAACAGGAACTGCTGCTTTATTGCCGCGCGCTCTGGCTTATATATTCGGCCGTGACCAATCACATATCACCACGGAGTCAGCACGGGGCGAGCACGGAGTGTGCACGGGGAGGCTAGTTAGGAGAGGGACATAGCGCATTGCGGAAGCTGACGTGGTTCTTAGTCCCGGCCAGGGTATAGTATGTTGAGCACCTGCGCCCAACATATTCCTACTTTGAAAAACTGAAAATACAGATTAGAGAAAGGGATGGATGAAGTGCTGGTGAATTCACTGTGAAACTGGCTTGAACAAAGACTGGAAGTGCTTTAAAATCATGAGTAATGGGACAGATAAAAAGAAACAGATGCCTTGTTGGAATTTAGCTAAAGGAAACAAAAGTACTTATCACTTATCATCTCTGAAAGGTGTCCAGGGAGACATCAGCTGAACTTGTCCTTAGAATCTAAATCCAACTGGATTTAGACAGGAGCCAAGGCTACATAAAATTCCATTAAGTAGAGAGAATAAAAGCCATACTTCTCTCCAAGGAGATGAAGGAAATAGAAGAGGGTAGGAAAGGATAATGATGCCAGTCTCCAAGGGACAGATGGCCTGTGGCCTGGGAAGAGGAAGAGTAATGGAAGACATTTGGAAGGGAACACGAAGCTCTGCTAGGACTCAGAATTTACTTCTCACACTAGTAGAAAATACCGTTATGCTAGAGTTGACTTTATGCAGTGGAGCAATTGGAACTAAAAGGCCAGTCTGTGGAAATCCACAATGCTAACAGATCAGTCACACTAGATTTCAAGCAACCAGAAATTTAATTATGACTCCACGGGGAGAGAAGGTCAAAAGCCCACTGATAGGTTTTGGCTTGCTACACCATCACTGCCAATTGACTCATACGTAGTAATTGGTTAATGAATGTCTGTTGAATAATTGAATGAGTAAGCACTGGTTCCAATGATCTCTTAGGTCACAGGAGACTTTAGTAAATTATAATAAAAATGTGGACATTTCATTGTTGGCTAAATCATATATGTAGTCTTGTGTAGCAATTATAAATTCTTACAGTAACCAAGGTAATAATATATAACATGCTGGCATTTTGAAAACACTTTTTCATTCATTACCTCATTTATAACTGAAATAGAGATGGCAAGAATATTAAAATTTTTAAAGCATAAATACTACATATTCATTTTTATAGTTTATAGCATGACTGTTGGTCTGTTCATATTTACAAAAGGTTGATTTATGTTTCATGGATGGAAATAGTTTTAAACTACTGTGTTCTGCTCATTGACTTGATAAGTAATACAATATCATTTCTATAATACGGTACATAGATTCATGGGACGAATGATAATAACTCAGCAAATGGAAGAAATTGTAAGGTAAGAATAAATTTGTGTTATCTACTCTTTAGAGGGAACTGTTTGAAAGAGGAACTGAAATCGTGGAATGAGGTTAATTTTAAAACATTTAGCCCTGTAGCTAGTAATTTGTAGCATCAGCAAGTGAAGATGAAATAGCTTATGAAATGATGTCAGAATAATTTAGCAAGATTTGGATTTCATTTCTTTCTTGTTTTTTTTTTTGTTGTTGTTGTTTTTTGTTTTTTTATAATAATAGCTGCTGCTTACTCGAATCCTCACACAGTGGAACCCACAGTACTTAGTCCGGAGTGTGAGGGGTTGCATGTAGCTGCAGTAGAGCGTGTGCTTACTGAGTTTAAAACCGAGTGCCACCCCCAAATGTTTTATGCACCATATAGCAAGTATAAATGCTACGGTCTTTACTTCAGAATCATTCAGTGCAAACTAGAACATTTAGTACTCAGTGCAGAACTGGTTACTTATTTTGATTGGTTTTTGGCTTATTTGGTTATCTTCGCTTTTTCTCCCTCAATATTCACTTTAATTTTGGCATCTTAATGAATGACTTTTTGGGTCAGTTAAAAGATTTGCTGATAGAATGAAATTACATTGCTATTCATGACCAACGGGCTTAAATTAGAATCAATCTTAGAGTCATTCCTAAATTTCTAATCAAATTTGACATGTTACTTCTTATTGGGAGACATATTTAGTTTATACTGTCTGTAGGAAATAAGTCACTAATAGAAAAAGTTGAGTACTTTTAAAGTGAAATCAACAAGGCACCAAAATTATCATGTGTTAGCGCTGATTCAAATTTTAATGAACATCAACATAAGAGCATATTCAATAAACTCTATAAACAAGATCTTGCTATAGACCCTGCTGACTAACTGTTCCAGGGCTTATTTTCATTTCCATGGTGGAATAGTGAGAAATGTGAATAATCATCTGAATTGCATTAAGAACTGTGGCTGGTAAAGGGAAGCGGAAATTATGTTACTTCCACTCCTGGAGTAACTAAAAGATTATACCATGTTCCTTACTGAAGTAACTGAAATGAACTGATGAGTTGCCATTAAAATCTAAAGCTTGGATCCCAGTGTGAACTCAAAGCATTCTTCTTCATTGTTAGAAGCAATATGGGGAGGAAAAGAGTCACTTTATAGCTCCTGAATAGTTGCCACATTGATTCTGGAATATCCGTGAAGTGTGCTCCAAATGTCTAATAAAATCATACTTGTTAACCAGGTCCCAAACACTAGACCCTTCTTGGCTCATCACATTTTTTTCAGTGTTTGGATCTGCAGGTGTTTTTAAATCAATGACTCACTTTCACTAAATATATATGTATCTTTAGGAAAACATAAGGAGTTTCAACAAGATAAAGACTTTAATTTACCCATAAAAAACTCTTAATGATTTTGCTGTCACTAAGAAGATACAATTTCCTTTCTAGTTATTCCTTGTCATTTTATATCTCCTTTATGGAGAGAAATTCAGACAGCAAGAAGACGCGTGCTCCAAGAAGTATGCAATGCAAGTAGTCAAATCGTACTGTGTGATCTTGCTTACAAAAACACTAACATATTGTCTACATTATATTTTGTTATCCAGCATAATTTTAATTGTTCAGGACTCATGCATTTGTATACAAATCATACAGTTTATATTTACATTGCATTTTAATTCAGCTATTTCCAAAGCTGTTTATTAATTTTGCTCAACTTTTAAAATTCTATCTTTTGCTTAACTTTCTTAAATTACTGCTTAATCATTGACTTCGTTATATTTTGTGTTCTAAAAATTTGAAACAAGTGGCTTTGTGAGTTTACTTCCATGCCTATTTTATTTCTGAGCCACTAACCTTACAGTGACTGAAATGCTAAAGTAGGTGTTTATTGTTATAGTAACTAACATCATGGTTGGCCTAGACAACTTTATAATAGCTAGGGTTTTGGTTTTATATGAAACTAGTGTATTCCCTATAATTTAAGTACTTCCTTACTAACAATGCCCTTTAGTTAAACTGAGTTTTCCGTATCCAATGTTTTTTTAATTTCTCTTTTTTTCTTAGGCCTCTGGGCCCAGAGAGTCTTCTGCTTCGTGGAGCCAGACTAAAAAACACCAAAGAAATTTTTGGTTTGTACATATTAAAAGTTTGTAAATATTCTTTTGCATTGATGCTTTATATGATTGATTGATTTTGTCTTTTTGAGGCAAGATCTCACTATGCAGTTCAGGCTGGCCTTGGGCTCACTTTGTAGCCCAGGCTGGTCTCCTATCTCAGCCTCCCAAGTGCTGGAATTACAGGCATGTACCACCATGCCTGGCTCATATGAAATACTTTTAAAAGTACAGCATACGTGGCCTTTTGAATGCATAATTTATTAATGAAATGTTATGTAATTTCTTAGAATTTTTTTGCAATGATTGTTTTGTCTTTTTGAGATAAGGTCTCTCTATGCAGTTTAGGCTGGCCTTGAGCTCTCTTTGTAGCTTAGGCTGGTCTCAAACTCACAACAATCCTCCTGTCTCAGCCTCCCAAGTGCCAGGATTACAGATATGAGCCACAGTTCAACGATTGTTTTAATATTGCATTTTTTTGTTATTAGCCCTTGAATAATAGAGTCTGGCTCTTTAATTTTCTTTGATGTGACTTGTGCAACTGAACACTTAAGAAAATAATTCTGAGCCAGGGATGGTGGCAAACAACTGTAATTCCAACACTAAAGAGGCTGAGGCAGGAAGCTTACCTTGAGTTCAAGGCCAGCCTGGGCTACATAGTAAGTTCAAGGTCAGCCTGAACTACCCAGCATGACCCTGTCTCAAAAGAAATGTGTATGAGAGCCTCTTTTAGAAATGTGTATGAGAGCCAGTGTAATATAGCACCTTGCACACTAAACACCTTCCTACATGGAACTAATTCCATGTAAGAATAATCACAATGGAATTAATAACCACTAATTCATTTATTGAACAAATTATCATTGATCTCTTACTCTACTAAGTAGTGTAGAGTGTGTACTGGTAACCAGCTCCTCCAGTTTCTGGAATATCCTGGCCCACTATTAACTCAGCTTTTTTTTTTTTTTTTTTTGCTTTTTTTGTTTTAGTTTTAGTTTTAATTTTTTATTAGTATGTATTTGCATTATATAATGATTACATTCCTTGTAGAGAGTTGGTACAGACATATAACATACCTTAATTCTTTTCTTCATCACATTTTCCTCTCCCTCCTCCCCTTCTTATTTTAAAAAGATCTATCTCACTACATCCTGTTGTCTTGTCTTGTCTTTTGCATGCATACCCATGTTTGTAGCAGCACAATTCATAATAGCTAAATCCTGGAAGCAACCTATATGTTTATAGGACAAATGGTTAAGAGGATGCAGCAGACAGAATGGCATACTGCTCTGCTTTAAAGAAGGGAAAAATGAGTCATTTGTAACCTTGACACCATACTGTAAAGTAAAATAAATCAGCCTCACACACTTAAATCTCACATGGTTCCTTTATATTAGAAACTCAAGATATATAAATAATTAGCAAAATAATTACAGCCCTTGAAATCTTCCATATTCTCTTTTCATATACCTGTACTATATCGTATCTCAAAGTGTTAGATACTCTGATAAACAAATGCATTTTTTGGGCCAGGGATATAGCCAGAGGCATAAGTGTCTGCCTGGCAAGTACAAGGTCCTGAGTTCAGTTCCTGGTACAAAAAAAAAAATACTTGCTTGCTTTCCTTTTTTTTTTTGGTACCGAGCATCAAACTCATGACCTCAGGCTTGTCAGGCAAGCACTTATGCTGCTGAGCTAAATCTCCAGCCCTGAAATGTGTGTTTTTGTTGTGTTGTTTTGTTTTGTTCTGTTTTGTTTTGTCAGAACAGAACAATTTAAGCAACATAGTGTTTCACCACAAGATAACCCGACATAACAGTAGTTACCATACTGTCTCTTTCCTTGAAATAGTTGAGTATATCTTCATATACTATAGCATCAAACGTAACAAGACTGTAAAACCATTCAAGAGAATGAAAGTATTACAGGGTATTTAGAACAAACTAACAAAAAACGAACAGTGGTTTCTATATTATCTCCTTATCTATAAAAAATTTTGTTTGTAGCCGGGGATTTAGCTCAGTGACACAAGCACCTGCCTGCAAAGTGCAAGGCCACGAGTTTGATCCCTGGTACCAAAAAAAAAAAAAATGTTTATACTATCACATATAATAAAATCCAATAAGATACAACGTGATAAAACCAATGGAGACAGAAGAACAAAAGCTTGATGGGCTTCCAAACAAGATGATATTTAAATCAGCACTAGCTGTTATAATGTCTTGTTTTCTTCAGAATAACTGTTCATACCATTGCAGACAATAAAATCAGACAACCCAGAATAAAACCCTTCCAATTAATGAATGAAAACATAAGGCTTCAAAGCAATATAATGGGGAATCATTACCACATACTTTTATGTATGCTTACCATTTCTTACACTAGGGAAACTATTCAGTATTTATACATGTGAGTTTGATTTATTTCGCTTGTGAGTATGGTCTCAAGCTGCACCCATTTATTTATAAATATCTCAATGTGATCATTCTTTATAGCTGAGTAATACTCCATTGTGTAAAAATACCACAACTTTTTTATCCATTCCTCAGTTGATGGACACTTAGGTTGTTTCCAAGATCTGGCGATTACAAATTGTGCTGCTATAAACATAGGTGCACATATACCACTGTGGTATGATGTTTTCAGTTCTTCTGGGAATATACCTAGAAGTAGAATAGCTAGAACAAATGGGACTTCCAATCCTAGCTTTTTGAGAAATCTCCAGACTGACCTCCACAATGGTTGCACCAGTCTACACTCCCACCAACAGTGCAGGAGAGTTCCTTTTTCCCCACAACCTCTCCAGAATTATTTGTTGGTAGTTTTCTTGATCCTGGCCATTCTTTCAGGAGTGAAATGGAATCTCAGTGTGGTTTTAATTTGCATTTCTCTAATGAGTAATGATGATGAACATTTTTTCATGTATTTATCTGACATTTGTATGAAATGCGTATTTTTAAGAGGAGATGATAAGTAAGTCTTGGCAAGGATGTATAAACATAAGAACCCTCTTACACTGCTAATGAGAGTATAAGATGTTGTAGCTACTGTAAAAATCAGTGTGGCCGTTCTCCAGTATGTTAAAGTATTAGCATATGACCAATCTCATTCTAAAATGGAGAACTCAAAATGGGTGTTCAAACAAAACTTGCACAGAATGTTCATAGCAACATTATGTACACATGATAGTCAAAGGTTGGAAATAGCTGCAGTGGTTGTCAACTAATGAAAAAGATGAGCAAAATTGGTATCTCTAATGGAATATTACTTGGCCATTAAAAGGAACCCACCTTGAAATAATGTTGTGTAAAAGATGCCAGACATAAAGGGACTATATGGTATGATTCCATTTACTTGGAATACTCATATAATAGCTGGACTCATGGATATAAAACAGGTAAGTTGTTCCCAGGAGCTAGGGAGTAGAGGGAAATAGGAGAGGTTGTTTAGTGGGACTAGAGTTTTCTTCTCTGGCTAGATGGTAAGAAAAGTTCTATGAAAGTGCAGATATACTCTGTGTCACTGACTTCACTCTCTAATGCAGACGCCTCTCTCTAATGTGTTTTTCCCATTTAAAGATGATGAGATTGGGACTTGGATTATTTACTCAAAAATGTAAAACTAAGAACTACCATTCAGGCCGAGGTCTAACTGCAGTTTTGTTGTGTGTTTTTTTTTTACTAAGACTGGTTTTGTCTGATTTTGTTCATTTCTGAGTTTCAGTCCTATTATTACTATCCTTCTTATTCATCTAGTCCTTCAACATTTTAAAAATAGCATTTCATTTGTGTTTGTATAGTTCGCTCTGATAGATTCCTTGTTAATCTCTCTGGAGTTTATGGAAGATTCTCAGAGTGACTCCAGCATTCCAAGCCTTTTCCTGTTTGGCCCTGATCCATTGCACCAATCTAAAAGTGTTTGCTTTTGCATCTTTATTAACTCTGCTAGCCCCACCTCTGGAGGCCGTCTCTCTCTTTCCCATCTCTTCTTCCCTCATTTATAGTTATATCTTCTACTCAGGTACCTGTTTGTATGTCAAGAGCAAAACTCTTATGACCTTGCCATCCAGCACATTGATTGACTGGAGTTCCCCAAACTAGACTTGGGAAATGTTTAAAAACTATAAACAGATTGTCAGGCATGGTGGCCTGTAATCCCAACACTCGAAGGCTGAGACAGGAGGATCATTGAAAGTTTGAGCCCAGCTTGGGCTACAAAGTAATCCTAAGGCCAGCCTGAACTACATAGCGAGACCTTGTCTCAAAAAGAAAAAAAAAAAAAAAAGCTATAAATAGACTTAAAGAAAAGCCAGGTCATAACAGCCGTCAGAGAGTATTTTTTTTCTCAGAAGCTTGCATGCTAATGAGCACATTCATTTCCAGAGAGCATGCCAGAGAATTGTAAAAGGCTTCTGCTTTATTCTGTAGGTGTTGCTGTGTACACTGGAATGGAAACTAAAATGGCATTAAATTACAAGAGCAAGTCACAGAAAAGATCAGCTGTGGAAAAGTAAGAAAACTGGTCTATTTTGACTTATGCACAATTATTACTGTATTTAATCATGTAAATCTTACAATTAGTAGATACAACTTTAAAGCAGATACTATAAGTATGTTCAGAGGCCTAGAGAAGAATATAAATGAACATATGAGAAACTTGGAAATGGAAACTATGAAAAAGCAACTGTGTGATTTGGGGGGCCGGGTACCAGGGATCAAACTTGTGACCTCATGCTTGCCAGGCAGGCGCTTATGCCACATCTGTGAATTTTTGAGTTGAAATATATCATTGCTAAGCCAAGCATGGTGGCGCATGCTTGTAATCCCAGCACTCAGGAGGCTGAGGTAGGAAGATTGTTGTGAATTCAGGGCCAGCCTGGGCTACAAAGTGAAGTGAAGCCTGAACTGCATGGAGAAGCACTGTTTCAAAAAGAAAGAAAAAACATAACTGCTAAAATATAAAAACAACAGGTGGGCTTGACTTGGAATTTGAAGAAAGCATCAGACTTTGCAAACTGGAAAAACATGAATAGAAATTACTTACTTTGAAGAACACAGAGGGAAAAGTTGGGGAAACATGAGATACAGAGCTGTGTGAGACAGTAGGCTACCTACCGTAGGTGTAATTGGTTCTCCCCCAGAAAGGGACAGGATAAAAATATTTGAAAAAATGACTTGAAAATTTGTACAAATTGAGGGGGAGGGAAAAATTAGCTTATACTACCAAAGTCAGAAGATGCCATGCTGGAAAAACGCACATTATGATTAGACGACTGAAACCAATTGAAGAAGAGAAGATAGTGTAAGCAGTCAAGGAAAAAGATGTCACATACAAGCGATAATGGTACCTGTAGTGTTTCCAAAACAGCAGAGGATTGTGAATGAACTTCTGCTAAGTGCAGAAGGAAGACAAAGTCATCCTAGGTATCCAGAATATATAGCCATTATATATTTTTAAAATACCTTCAAATCAATCATGAAAATAGAAATAGCCTAAAAACAAGTGAGCAAAAGACTAAACACTTCGCAAGGAAAACACCAGCATATGAAAGCATATATGGCGGTATCTTACGAGTTGACCATGAGTTATCAGTCCACCACATACAGTGTATTAAATTGTTAGGGATGTGGGCTAAATCAGTGTTGAAAAAGAAATTTGTATTACTGAATGCATTAAAACAGTAATGTGAAATAAACCAAAATTAGAAACACAAGATCATTTATAGTCCCAACCCCCAAAACTCAGCATCTAACAAAATACAGATCTCTGTGCTGTGGGACAGTATGAGGTGTTCATGGACTGAAAGACTCGGGTGATAAAAATGTCACTTCTCCCAGATCCATCAAAATGTAGTGCAGTTCTTAGGCAAAGTCTAGCTAGAGCCCGGCATGGTGGTGTAGGCTTAGCAACCTGCCTCTGTGGAGACTGAGGCAAGAGAGTGCAACTTCAAATCCAGCTTGGCATTGTGGCCTAATGTGCAGGTCCCGAGTCTCTTAACAGACTTAATGTGTATTTACCATGTGAACACCAGACACATAAATAAATTTTATGCTGACAACAAAACTATTTCGTGTTCATGTTCAAACTTTGTTACAGCAAAAGCCTAGAAACAGCCCAATGAGTGAACATAAACAAAAAGTCTTGTACATCTATACAGTACAACACTAATCAGCAAGTAAAAGCATGAGTTGTTAATCCACACAGCTCAAATAGAGCCCAAAGGCTTTCTTTGGAGGTTCATTTGTTTTGTTTGGTTTTGGAGACAGGGTCTTGCTGTGCAGTTCAGGCCATCCTCGAACTCACTGTGTAGCGCAAAGAGCCTTGAACTCTCAGCAGTCCTCCTGCCTCAGCCTCTTTGAGTGTTGGGATTATAGGCATGGCCCCCCACACCCAGCATCAAAGGCATTGTACTTAGTGAAAACAGTCGCTCTTTCTATGCTGCAGGCTTCAGTTGTATAACAGACACAAAATGATGGAACCACGGAGATAGGGACCATGCCTATAGTTGGATGGGACACACCAGGGAGTTCTCGGGGCTGTGGGGCACTTGGCCATCTAGGTAGTGTTGGGAATCTGTATGTGTGATTCATCGTGTAGAGCTGTAGACATACGTACAGATGAGAACAGATTTTGTGAACAATGAAAATCTATAGTTTAATTCACTGTAATCTGTTAATTAGGAAAATCAGTGACTAAGACTACCTAGGACTCTGTACTATTTTTACAACTTTGTGTGAGCCTGTAATTCAGAACAAAACAAAACAAAATTTAACGCAATTGATGAGGTGATGAGATTTTAAAGAACCACAGAAAGTAAGAATTAAGAGCTGGGCGTGGTGTCACATGCCAGTAATCCCAGCACTTGAGAGATTGAGGCAGGAGCTTTGCTGGAAGTTTGAGGCCAGCCTAAGCTACACAGAGAGTTCAAGGCCAGACTGAACTGCACAGTGACACCCAGTCTCAAAAGAAGTAAAAGCAAAAATTAAATGGGTAATTGAAATGGAAGAAAATATAGATGAAATAAAAACAGTAAAATGTAAACAGCTGTTCATGCTGTGCTGAGCACATGATGTTTTATTATAGTGTTTTATTTTTTATTTTAATTTGTGTGCTACAAAGTTTCTTTATGTCAAAGTGTTTTAAAATTGAATGTGTATTTGCATCAGCAGCACATACCTATTAGAACCATAGGAAGGAATTAGCATTGCCCATGCACAAAGCTGACACACAGACTCATGAAATGATCTATATTTTTAAGCATATTTAGATAAATAATTGAAAACTGGTAATATTAAGCAGAAATTGGGTAGAGAGGATTGGTGAGAGTTGATACATTAATAGCCATAGAAAATTTGCCAGGATATTACTGTTATTGTTTCCATTCTTAAGTCTTAACCTGTGAATTATAAGAGACTTTAAAACTATCAGCGGAATTTTGCTTGAGAAAGCATAATCTAGAGGTACGTATTGACATTTGATGTGTTTGTGTGGGGATGGATCTATTGTAATGCTAGATTTTCTAAGCCATAATTCTGATCTGCTTTTGGAGTTTCCAGTCAGTTTGAAGTTAAAACTAATATACAGTGAAAAATTAGATAATAATTACAGGGTGTGAAACTATTTTTAATTTAAACAAGAGAAAGTTGAATATAAACTTAAGACAGACTCTAGGAAGATGATGGCATTCGAGTTAAACATTCAATTTAAAACTTGATTAAACAAATTAAAAATCTGTTACATAATGCGGGTGAGATGGTGACCATCTGATGAGACAAGCATGGGCAGAGACAGAAGGCAGAGATAAACTAGGCAGTGTGAGAGAATAAAGGAGACCCAGCGAGGTTAGTAAAAAAAGGTCCGAATTTGGAAATTTGAACTTGACTTTTGCTGCTTGTTAGCCATGTGACCTTAAATCAATTGTTTTATTCAGTAGAATCGAATTTTGGGAGGGTGGGGACAGGGTCTCACTGTGCTGTCCAGGCTGGCCTTGAGCTCACTTTGTATCCCAGGCTGGTCTGGAACTTGCAGTGATCTTCCTGCCTCAGCTTCCCAAGTGCTGGGATAACAAGCATGCGCCATCTCGCCCAGCTTTGTTTTCATATTTTAAAATGCACAGTACTATAGATGAAGTGCCAGTATAGTGCCTGATACATAATAACCCAACAAAAGAACAGTTCTTGGCCCCTTCTTCTCACTGTAGTGTAGCATTGATACTGGAATATCAGCTACTTGCTTAAGATAAAGCTAAGTTTATCAGCTATGTGCATACTTAAGATAAAGCTAAGTTATGGAAGGCCTAGAGAGAAAACTTAGAACACAGGGATTTCCCATCAGTGAGAGACTTTATAGAGCCTGTGACCTGCATTTTCCCTGAGGATGCCTGAAGGTTCATTATACTATTGTTTATTTATATTTGGTTTTGGGGGGGATTGCTTTTGGGTTTTTGTTTTTTTGTCTTTTTGAGACAGGATCTTGCTTTGCATTTTAGGCTGGCCTTGGGCTCACTTTGTAGCACAGGCTGGTTTTGAATTTGCAACATTCCTCCTGCCTCAGCCTCCCAAGTGCTGGGATTACAGTTGTGAGCCACCACACCCGATTTTATATTTGAATTTTAAAATGAGATAACATTTCTTTGACTATATCAGGAATGTATGGTTTTAACCCTAATATTAGATATGTCACGTTAAGCTTTCCTAGCAAAGAGAAGAGGCTCTGAAGTGGATTTCTGGTGATTTGGAGAAAGTATGCAATTACTTTTAGTCTTGGGGCTTCATCATTTAAAAGGATGCAGTAATTTCTTCTTCAAAGGTTTTTATAAAGATGAAATAAAATAGTGGTTGTGACAAATTTTGTAAACTTTTAATGCTATACAACTTTGGGTTTTTTGTTGTTGTTGTTGTTTTGTGGGTTTTTTGGTACCGGGATCAAATTTATGAACTCATGCTGCTAAACTAAATCCCAGCCTACACATTATTTTTATTCATTGTACTTATAAGTAGATGGGCCCTGAAAATACAAAACAAAAATGTTAGAATAGTTACAGTAAACATAAGTTGCAAAACTATTATCTATTGTGACACCTGTATGTATTGATTCTTTTATTGTTGGTAAATAGATGCTGTTGAATGATCTTTTCATGAAAACAAAGACTATGTCCTTTAAAATAGCTATAATAATCCTTTACGTTTTGTAATATGTTTAACACAGATATTAATTTCTAAGCAAACAGTTACAGTAATACAGATTGATGTTTTATATTGTCTTTTTCTTCAGATCAATGAACACATTTTTGATAATTTATCTAATAATACTTATTTCTGAAGCCATTATCAGTACTATCTTGAAATACACATGGCAAGCTCAAGAAAAATGGGATGAACCTTGGTATAACCAAAAAACAGAACACCAGAGAAATAGTAGTAAGGTATTTTATGATGTTTGTAACTTTCCTGTAAAACAGTTAATGCTTTGGTCATGACTTCTGATAGCAAGGACTATTGTGATCTCACAAAACCATCAGCACTGACAGAATGACCTGTGAACAGAGAGCAGTCAGCATGTTTGTAGCAGAATACTTTTCATAGTTTAGGGTGTCTTTCCTGTGCAGTAACTAAACATCACGAAAATTTAAATCCAGCAATATTTGCCTTGTACTTTAATACTGAAGATTCAGTTTTCTATTCTTGTCTTATAAATGAATTAAGGTGAATTTATTTTTAATTCTGTCTGAATAATTCAGGAAGTCTTATTGTCGGTTTTGATTGTACGTGTGAAGTAATTCACAAATTATATACAGTTTTATAAAGTGATTAAATATAAAAAAATAAAGTGATTAAATATGGAGTACTAGCAGATTATAACCTATAATTTTTATAAAGATTGTTCTCCAAATTTTACTGTAGATTAAAATGTAAATACAGGAAGACTTCAGTGGGTCTCAAGACCACAGAACAGATAAATACAGGGTTATGTTCTCAACGTCATTCTCATCCATAACTGTGCTTTTGCAGAGGGCTTTTGCAGAAAGCCTGATGAATATGCTTCTCCCATGCCACTGATGGAGATTTCTCCTATGTCATCTGCACATCATAGTTTTAATTTCTGAGAAGTGTAGTCTAGTGTTTGTGCTGTAGTGTTTTAAAGTTAAACTGCCGTTTTTTTGTCATCCGTTTTGAAGAGTAATGGAATGTACAATTGCACTCCAAAGAGTGTAATTAGTTTTCCCAAAGGTAGGTTCAGTCATACTAGGTGACCTCAGCTTCTAAAGAATAACAAATTAAGTTATTTGAATTTAACCTTCTACATTGAGCAAGAGTCTGAGTAAACAGGAAACAGTGCTAAGAAGATAATTCAGTTCAAAATGTTATTCCACCTCACAATAGTTGGTGGTCTATTTATGCATGAAAGTGATCATTTTCTTCAGTAATACTAAGATTCTCTTGTTTTTCCTTTATGAAATAATCATTTCTTTTTTTCCTAGATCCTGAGATTTATTTCTGATTTCCTTGCTTTCCTGGTACTGTACAATTTCATCATTCCAATTTCATTGTATGTAACAGTTGAAATGCAGAAATTTCTTGGATCATTTTTTATTGGCTGGGATCTTGATCTCTATCATGAAGAATCAGATCAGAAATCTCAAGTTAATACTTCTGACCTGAATGAAGAACTTGGACAGGTAAAAATGATCCTGAGATTTTATTTTTGTGATTTTTTTTTTCCTTTTAGAGAAAAGCACGTAAAAAGCTAATATAACAAACTAATACAAAGTTTATACCAAAAACAGCCCTGGTTTGATCCACCCCTAATTTTTATTCCCATTTAAAAATCTCCTTGTTTCTTCCATTACTTGCCGGGGGCCACAAGTTTCTACATGGGATATTCGTTCTTGGGTTTACAATTTTAGGCGTTCTGTGTTACAAAACAGACAGACATAGCAACATTGCTCTTCCCACACACATACCCAAGTAACATGTCCACTTTGGTTCTCCAAAGCCCTCTGGTATTGTTATGTCACAATTGAAATTTAGTAAACATTTATTTATTGATGTTATTATGACTTTTAATATTCCCAGTTCTTTATGGAATCCCTGTATTACTATATTTCCTTTCATATATGTATTATATGTATATTGGAACTCTTTCCACTGCACCGATTATCAGGGCCCCCTGCAGTGAGTCCTCCGGGTCCTTCAGGGTATTATAGTGCTCAGTAGGAAGGAAAGAAAGAAAGAGCAAGAGACAGCCGTGATGGTTGCAGCAGGGATCTGGGATGACGAGTTGTTCCTGAGGGAACACAAGGCCACGAGGTGCCCAGAACCTTGGTGCTTATTCACTACATCCACAACAGGGACAGTGGGTGAAGGGCAGTGGGTGTTTCCAGGAACGGTGATGGCGACTTAGCTGGGCAAGAAGAACAAAGCGTTCTTGGAAGACAAGGACCACAGTAAGCCGGGGCAGTGACGAGGCTGCGGCCCACGGGTGCCTTATGTCTCATGCTGGTCTCCTCTTGCCTTGTGAGCTCCACAGCAGTCGTTAGCCCTTGGACTTCCAGCTGTGACCAGAAAAGGGTGGGGAGTTTCAGCATTGCAGTCTGCTCAAGGGCAGGACAAGAATGAGCTCAGGACATCCCCTAGCCTCAGTTCATAATTGTTCCCCAATGTACATTGCCCCAGAGTAACTGTTCTGTTTTTCATTTGTTTGCTTTCTTAGACCGCAGCACAACTCTTGGACACATACCCAAAGCATCTCTATATAGCCAAACACTTCAGTAAATCTAAGGGTTTCTTTTTCTGTCCCTTTTTCATTTTTAGTATTCGTCCTATTTGTTTTATTTTTGAGACAAGGCCTCGCTTTCTTGCCCACGCTGACCCTGATCCTCAGCTTCCTGAGTAGCTGGGGCTACAGACATGTGCCACTGTACCCAGCTTCTTTATTTCACATGGCAGAATTTCCGTGTCAGGTGTTGTATTTATGGTTCACTATTCCTGTATCATGGATCTTAAAATGGTTGTCACACATCTTTTTATCTTGGCCAAACAGCTTTTTCCAATTTTAAGTCTGCCTTTTTTCTTGCATGTTAATCTTTTACCCTGATACCTTCCTGAACTTACTAGTTGTAATAAATATTTTAGTGAATCCTTTAAGGTTTGTTTGTTTTTTTTTTTTTAACATACAGAATCATTTCATATGCACTTGGGATACTTTTACCTTTTTTTCTTAATCAGAATAAGTTCTTTTTTCTTCACTAATTGCCCTAACAGAACCTTCATGTATTTTGTTTGTTTGTTTTTGTGGTATTGGGGACCGAACCTGGGGCCTTCACACTGGTGTGTACTGCTACATGTTTTAGTCTTTGAGACAGGAGCTCACTAAGTCCATGAGGTCCCAAAATGAGGCTGTAGCTTGCAAATGGAGCTCCTGCCTCAGCCTCCCAGAGCACCACACTTGGGTCCTTCAGTACAATGTTGATAAAAGTGACAGTGACATACATCTGTCTTATTTCCCTGCTCTTAGGAAGAAAGCATGCAATATGATACCTGTAGGGTTTTTGTAGATACCTTTTATTGGGTTGAAGTAGTTCCCCTTTATCCCTAATTTACCGAGTGTTTTTATCATGAAGGGTATTGGGTTTTGTTTTTTCTACCTGTATTGGGATAGTGATTTTATTCACAGAATAAAAGACAAATACCATTGTATTTCTATGGTAGATTATGTTCATTGAATTTTATGTTGAATCTTAACATTCCTTGGATAAATTGCACATTTATATGTTTAAAATATATATGTATTTCATATATATCATAAAATATATATCATATAGATTTCATATGTATTTCATGTCTATATTATATATAGATATGAAAAAATTCATCATTGCAGCAAACCAAACCCTTGTGGCAATGCTGTTCTGCTTTGCTTTGTTCTGCTTTGCTTTGCTTCATTTTGTTTTTGGCAATCCTGTTTGTACCCAGACTTATGTTGCATCCTTCTCTTCATGGATGGGATAGGACTATCTTCCTCCTGGGTACATTTTCTGGAATTATTCTCCTCCAAGAGTAGTAAAAGAATTTGTCTTAGCTACCTTTTAAGATGTATTTTTTTTAACATTTTTTAAAACGGTACTTATTTCCTGCCCCTTGTTTCAGTTTCTTCTATGCATACTGGACAGCTTCGTACTTCTAACTTGTGTTGCTATTGTTTTGTGTTCCAGTTCCCAGCTCTGTGCTTTATTTCCTGGCCCAGAAATCATTTTGCTTTCTAGATTAAGCGTCCTCCCCACCTTTACTTTAATAATTCCTGAGCCTGCTATTTATAAAACAGCTTAACCATGAGATAGAAATGAAGTTCTTATGCCTCATTCAGCTCTGCAGATGAATGTATATCCAGGATGCTGCAAACTTCAGAATGTGTGCAGAGTTAAAATATTGGTGTTACTTTATTTTGTTTCCTTAGCATCTCTGTTATTTGTGCTTGAATTATAAGAATCTCAGCGTGGGTATATTTTTTTTGTGACAACTAAACTTTAGGAGACATGTTTTTCAGCATAGAAATATGAGCACAAAGGTTTATTTTATTTTTTTTTCTATCTCTCTAGGTGGACTATGTGTTTACAGATAAAACTGGAACACTGACAGAAAATGAGATGTACTTCCGAGAATGTTCAATTAATGGCATAAAATACCAAGAAATCAATGGGAGACTTGTACCTGAAGGACCAACTCCTGAGTCTTCAGAAGGAAGCTTGTCTTACCTTAGTGGTTTATCCCACCTTAGCAACTTAGCCCACCTTACAAGCAGTTCCTCTTTTAGAACCAGTCCTGAAAATGAAACTGAACTAGTAAGTGGATTTAAAATCAGTAAGTAAGGGTTTTATATGAATTCATTCTCTTCAGTAATTGCGGGTGGTAGCAGAAAGGTTAATGAATGTCAGATAGAACAAGGAATCTACATATATGAAATGTAAGTATTTGACTCAGTACTGCATAATAAAACCGTAAGAATTTGTAGTCACAGCCCAGTCTTACTGCTCACTTCCGGTATGCCTTCTCTAGCTCTTCAGGTATTTATATAGAACCAACTGAAAAGATTTTACCACCTTGAAGTGCAAAAGACTTTAATGAGAAATAGTGCTTAAAGTTATTTAACACTATTTTTAGACCTCACTTTTTCCACCAGAGGTGTAGGGGTCCTGTTGTACTTGTAGATAAACTGTGCCTCTCAGAAAGATGTAGGCATGCTGAAGGGTTCAGAGCCAGTGTGACATTTCACGTTTTGAAGTCAGAAACAGCCAGCTTTTATTCAGGTGATCCAGGTTATGACACTTTCATTCTAGCAGTTATAGTTCTGTCTGTGAGCTAGGCACAGGAGTCCATGCCTAATAATCCCAGCTACCCAGGAGACTGAGCAGGAGGATCACATGTTTGAAGCCAGCCTGGCAAACTTAGCAGAACCCTGTCTGGAAATGAAAGGATGGGGATGCACCTCAGTGAGAGAGCACTTGCCTAACATGAATGAGGTCCTACGTTTAATCACTATTTTAAAAAAAAAAAATTAAGAAGGCTTTCTGTCTGGTTTCTTAAGTATTTGGGGATGGAGCCTATATCTTAAATATTGTGTCTCTGCAGATTAAAGGATATGATGTGTTCTTCAAAGCAGTCAGTCTCTGCCACACTGTGCAGATCAGCAACATTCAAAGCGACAGCATCGGTGATGGGCCCTGGCAGTCCAGCCTGGAGTCCTCCCAGATGGAATACTATGCATCTTCCCCAGACGAGAAGGCTCTAGTGGAAGCTGCCGCAAGGTAGTTTAGTCTCATTTTCCAAGCCCCAGAAAACACTTTGTAAGCTGGCATTAGAATAGTAAAGAATCATAATGTAGAGTTTTTAAGTGTAAATTCATTTTACATTTTTAAAGATCTCTAAAAATTTGTTTACTGTGAAATCTGTGTAATAAAAATAAATGTCATCCCTTAATATCTTATATCTCTTGTTCATTTAATCCCTAGAATTGGCATTGTATTTATGGGCAATTCTGAAGAAATTATGGAAATTAAAATACTTGGAAACCTGGAACGGTAATCTTTTTCATATATTGTGATACTCACTTTATTAGCTATAGAGAGTACAGAATAAAAATTGGTAAACTGTTACCCACAGGAAAATCTGCCTCAACTCTGTTTTTCCCACAATCTGTTTTTGTACAGCCCATAAACTATGTTTTATTTTTAAAACATTTTTTTAAAAAACAAAGAAAGCATATGCAGCAGAAACTATACAGTGAGGCCCGTTCTTTGCTTACTTTCTTTGGTTTTGGTTCTGGGTTTGGTTTGTGTACTAGGGGTGGAACCTGGGGTATGATGCATGAGAGGCAAGCACTCAGCTATTGAGATGCGTCCAAAGCCCTTTGGCTGTTTTCATGTGGAAGCTCATCTGGCCCATTTCATCAGTGTATAAGCTGTCATTTAACTCACTGTTTTTCCTTGAGGTGTGTAAAGTATTCCATATGTGTATCATTGCATGAGATTCTCCTCAAAGATGTCCAGGCTATGCCTCACCTGCACAACACTTTTTCAGGTCTTGAGATAGGCATCAGTTCCCTAATCTACCACACACACACATATGCATGCACCCATGTTCAGAATCCCTTGCTGTGATGAACCTCTCACACTAGCTTGTGTGTATGTTTGTCAGTGAAGATATTAGGACAGAAAAGAGAATTTGGTCACCTTTTAGTGAGAAAACCATGGACAGAACAGCTGGATTCTAGCTGTTGCCTGCTTCTTTGACGTATGCAGGGATCAGATGATGTAAGCTCTGAAAAGTGCATGGTATTTGGAGTAGACTCAATGGCAGCTCCTATTTCTGTCCAGTGTTGTTACTCTTTTTTTGTGTTTTGTTTTGTTTTTTGAAACAGGGTCTCTCTATGCAGTTCAGGCTGACCTTGAGCTCACTTTATAGCCCAGGCTGATCTTGAACTCGAAGTAATCCTCCTGCCTCAGCCTCCCAAGTGCTGGGATTACAGGTGTGAGCCACCATGCCCAGCCAGTGTGTTATTCTTTTTTCCCAGTATTATTATTAATGACTCATAACCCATAACATGAAGATATTAGTGTTTTTTTTTTATAGTGATTGTTTCCAAGTAGTCACTTACTATGCTAAAGAGTAAGGTTTTTGTGTTTCTTATTTTCTTTAGATACAAACTTCTTCATGTTCTGGAATTTGATTCAGATCGTAGGAGAATGAGTGTAATTGTTCAAGCATCTTCAGGTAACCAGTCTCAACTTTTATGAGCTTTTATTTACCTAGTAAGAGCTTGATAACTTAATTTTTTTCTTTTTAGGTGAGAAGCTCTTATTTGCTAAAGGAGCAGAATCATCAATTCTTCCTAAATGCATAGGGGGAGAAATAGAGAAAACCAGAATTCATGTGGATGAATTTGCTTTGGTGAGTACAAATTACTCTGGTTTAAAAACTATAACAGGTGTGTTGGCACATACCTGAAATCTAGAAATCTAGCAGGCAGAGGCAGGCAGGCCACAAGTGTAAGCCCAGTATAGATAACTTAGCAGTTTAGCAAGACCCTGTATCAAAATGAAAAACTGAAGGGCTGGGAAATGCACCTCAGTGTGAAAGACCTCAGTTCAGTTCCCCATGACTACAGGAGGAGAAAAGAAGGGGGAAAAATATGTAAAAGACATATTCATGAAAAATTTGAGGCTTCATTTTTTTAATTGTCAAAAATTATGGAACTTCTGCAATGCTATAAAAACTATTTTTTTCTGCTAAAATACAAGTATTCTCATCACATCTATCGTAGGTTATATATGGTTGCAAGGACCACATTGTTTGTTTGTTTTGGTGCTGGGAATTTATTACCTTCCCAGTGCCCCCACTGTGTTTCATTTTTTATTTTGAGACAAGGTCTCAGATACTCAGTTGCCTAAGTTGGACTAGAACTTGGAATCCTCCTACCTCGGCCTCTCAGAATGTTGGGATGACAGTTGTGCGCCCTCACTCCTGCCTCAAACTGCAGTTTCAAAAGAGGGTTTGGTGACTGGGATGTAGAGCACTTGCTTAGCAGGTTCAAGGGCCTGGGTTTGATTCCGAGCACTGCAAAAAATGAAATAAACAGGTTTAGCCAGGCTATCCCGGTAGCCCCAGCCACGGAGGAGGCTGAGGCTGAGAATCTCTTGAGCCCAGGCTGGTCTTAAACTCATAGGTTCCAGGGATTTTCCTGCAAAGATCCTGTCTTTAAAAAACAAAACAAAAAATGGGACTAGGCTATGGCTCAGTGATAGAAAGCCTGCTTAGCATGTACAAGGCTGCATTCACTCCATAGAAGAGGGCTACTGCAAGAATACAGGAGAATGTCAAGAATGGAGTGAAATTAGGACCTGGGCCACTTGGACCTTATTTCAAAATAAAACCTAAAAAGGGCCAAGAATATAACCCAAGTAATAGAGTGCTTCTGGGTTCTATCCCAAGTGTTATCCCCCAAAAAGATTTGATAGATCTAGAAAATACAGTCTGATAGTATTTTGTAGGCTTCTTCATTTGAATGACTGATTTTGTCATAGGAAATTATGGTCTCTTGCTTAAAAAAAATAAAGTCTTATGACTTAACTAAAATGGGTTTGTACAGTAAAACAGGTAAATAGAACCTGGTGCTATCTCTTTCTGGGCAGTCGTGAGGTTCCAATATAGAACTTTGTAACTTTCCATGTAACAATTTTAAAACCACGAATAAGATTGTTTTTTTTTAATGGTCCTTTCTAGGTCCTTGTACTATACAGTTCAATAGCCTTAATCATTTTGAGCAATTTTTAAAGACTTGATCAGAAACTGAAAGCACTCTTGATAGTAATATGATCCATAACCCAGATCTCTAGGGCGACAGTACTTTTTAAGCAGTTTACAATTGAATTTTTTGATAATAGGTTCTCAGTTTAGGGGAGAGTTCATTTTTAGTTTGTTTTTGCAGGACTAAGAATCAAATCCAGGGACCTCAGTTTATTTCAGTAACTTCTTGATTTTCATTAGTTGTGTTTAATTTGTCTTTGTTTGTTTGTTTGTTTGTTTTAGAAAGGGTTAAGAACTCTGTGTATAGCTTATAGGCAGTTTACATCTAAAGAGTATCAAGAAATAGACAGACGCCTTTTTGAAGCCAGGACTGCCTTGCAGCAGAGGGAAGAGAAATTGGCTGAAGTCTTCCAGTTCATAGAGAAAGACCTGATACTACTTGGGGCTACAGCAGTGGAAGACAGGTAAGTGTCAGATAAATAATCAGGATGAGTTTTCTTACATTTTTAACCAAGTGTTCTGACACAGTAAATGATAAGATAATATCCAAAAGATGAGAAGTATAAAACAAAAGAGGCCTTTATTCTGAGGAGGAGAGAGAAAACCAAAACACACACCCCCACCCCCACCCCCGACTGCCGAGTCAGGCTTTCTCTCTGGCAGACACGTGGCCTGGGGGGTATATAAGTAGCCTTGGTTTGGGGTGGAACCTAAGGGAGCATTAGGGATGCACATTGGTCTTTGTTTGGTGCCATAGGTAAATTCCTAGGGGTGGGGGAGATAGGAGCTCCTTGGTTCCGCCTCTAAGGCTTCACCAGCTACAGTGTCCTGTCTGAGCCAAAACTCTTTCAGTAAATATTCTGGTTGTTAACATCCTATAGTAACTACTCCAGATAACTAAAGCCTTGATGTTTCCAGTCAGTATATACTGTGTTGTTCCAGCCAGCTACCTGAAATAGGTGAAAGGAAAGCAATTAACTCTAGTTCTCCCTGTGGTCTGGAATGTTGAACACACACCTCGCCCCGTGCTCGTGCTCAAGGCGACCCTGAGCCTCTGCAGACTCCTCCAGCCTCACCTCCACCGCGCTTCTGTTTACTGTGAGCTTCAGTGATGTCGCACTGCACGCCTGCAACGGTGGAAACCATTCTGTTCTGTGTTTGTTCCTTGGCAAGGGTCTGCCTTCTGCCTGGTGATCCTTCCCTTGTCTATCCATCTACAGATAGCTGTTTATAAAACATAGCTCAGATATTAGCTCTACTCTAGAAAGACCTTTTTGGACATGGAGCAATCAAAATTTTTCTTCTTCAAATCCCTATGTTTTTGTACGTTCTGTTATTGTAGTTCTGGTATTACATGTTTGTAACTCTGGTATTATCTTCTGTTTTAACTATTAAGAATGATTTGTGCTTGGCAAGCATGAGAACATAAATTCAATCCTCGGTACCCAAAAAAAAAAGAATGATTTGAAGCCAAATATAGTGGTGCACACATCTGTAACCCCAGCATTTGTGAGACAAAGGCAGGAGGCTACCACATGTTCGAGGCCAGCTTGACAGACAGCAAGACCCTGTGTCCAAAAACAAACAAAAAGAGTGATTTGAGAGACTTTCTTACCAAGAGGGAGAGAGAAATTTCCTCTGACTTGAAATTTAAAAATTCAGGGGCGAGGGATTTAGCTTAGTGGCATAAATGCCTGCCTGGCAAGCTTAAGGTCGTGAGTTCGATCCCTGATACCAAAAAAAGAATTCAGGGCCAAGGCTATGTCTCATTAGCACAGCGCCTGCCTGTCAAGTGCAAGGATGTGAGTTTGATTCCCAGTACCAAAAAAAAAGGAAAAGAAAAGAAATTGAGGAATTCATGAGGGTGAGGACATAGGGTGGTTGCATGTAGCATGCATGTAGCCTTTAGTTCAATCCCTAGCACCACGAAAATAATAGCAAGACTTTCAAATAAAATAGAAGTTTATGAAGACTGCATAGTTTGGTCTCTGTTTTTTTTTTTTTTTTTTTTTTTTTGAGACGGAGTCTTGCTATGTAGTTCAGGCTGGCCTTGAGCTCACTTCGTAGCCCAGGCTGGTCTCAAACTCGCAATGGTCCTCCTACCTCAGCCTCCCGAGTGCTGGGATTACAGGCATGAGCCACCACGCCCGACTGCAGATACACTCTTAAAATGTGATGTCGTCAATTTTAACTGGTTGATTCTGTGTGGTTTAGCTGATTACTAGTCAGTTTATTGTTTCTTCTGAATGGGAGAAAATTGCAGTTGTGTTGTTATGAAATAACATCCTTAGGTCAGATCCTGACTTGCATGTACATATGCTGTATGATTTGTAAGTTAACATGCAGTCGGAAAAGTAGTTTTTTTAACCAATTTTGTTTCTTTGATTTTTTAGACTGCAAGATAAAGTTCGAGAAACTATTGAAGCATTGAGAATGGCTGGTATCAAAGTATGGGTGCTTACTGGAGATAAACATGAAACGGCAGTTAGTGTGAGTTTATCGTGTGGACATTTCCATAGAACTATGAACATCCTTGAGCTTATTAACCAGAAGTCAGACAGCGAATGTGCTGAACAGTTGAGGCAGCTCGCCAGAAGGTAAGATCGGTGTCTGGTACTGCTGCTCCAGGAGCAGCAAACCGACAGTGGCCTGTGGGTCATTCTTTATAACGCATAACCTCCAAGTAGCTTCTACATGTTTGATGGATAAAAAAATAACCCAGAGGAGAATATTGCGTGATGTGAAAATCGTATGAAATTCAGATTTCCATATCTATAAGGAAAGTCAGGTTAGACTCAGCCCTGAAATTCATTGCCCTCCTGTCGGTGACTGCCTCCCGCTGCAGGGTCCGAGTTGCCGCACCGCCGCAAAGGCCTCCTCTGTCATGCAGAGGCCACAGTGACACGGTCATAGCTCAGCGGTGTTCCGAGTGCTACACATGGCACCATATCCTGACATTCTACTATTTTTAAAGAGAATAAAACCCAGTGAAACACAGTAAAGCCAATCAAAGCAAGGCAGTGAAAGTGGTACAGAACTTCAAAGCAACATAATAGGAAATCAGCAATGACTACGATGATATATCTTGCTGTCTTCACAATAGTTGTCCATTCCACCAGACATAGTAAAAATCAAATAAAACAGAGTAAAACCGATCAGAACACAACATTGAATAAAACAAAACAATAAATGAGAACAAAACAGAACAGTGAGATCAATATTGGATTTCAAAAACAAGATAGAAGGAAATCCCCCATATTTGCTATATTACATACTGTTACTCTCACAGGCCACCTGGCGTAGGCCTGCAGAGTAGGTCAGACAGTACAGGCCTTTAATTGTTTTTGTACCTCAGTTGCTGTCAACTCAGCCTGTCCTCCAGACTAGCCAGGTGCTCTCTGGGGAAGGAAGTAGTTCTTGCTTCTCGGCCTGCATGCAGGTCGGCTCTCAGGGAGGGTGAACTGGCTCTTCCTGTGCCCCAGATGGTTTACACAGCTTACCTGAAGGACAGACTGGCTTCTTGATGTGGTCCTCCCAGACCCAGCGTGGCTTCTGCACTCCCACCCCACTTTAAGAAATATACTCCCCCAAAAGATTACCAATCCTTACTGTTACAGACCTCTATTATTTTTTAGAATGTACTGTTACTACTTTATTTTTAATTTTAGTTAATAAAATTTTTGTTGAAATTTCTTTTTTTTTTTTTTTGCTACTGGGGATTGAACTCATGACCTCACACTTGCCAAGCAGGCACTTATGCCACCGAGCTAAATCCCTGGCCCAAATGTTTTTTTGTTTTTTTGGTTTTTTTTGTACCAGGGACCAAACTCAGACCTTGCGCTTGCCAGGCAGTCACTTAGAAAATTTCTTTTCTCATTGTATAAGTACCTCTATAATCTTCAGTTTTGCTTCTTAGGCCACAAAACCTAAATTTGAAATTGCTTTCTGGACCTTTACAGAAAACATTCACTGAGCCTAGTCAGACAAGCAAACAGGGGAACTAATCTGCATTTTACTGTTCAATATTATTTCATAAAAGATTATACTGTAAATTATTTACAGGGAGATCAGATTTATTTGGTACCTTTAACACAGTCTTAACTTCTCATAATAAACTAAGGCATGCCTCAGGGTGAACATCAGGCCTAGTTGTATGTGTACACCCTAGGTTTGCTACAAGTACCAGTCCCATGATACTAACCCAGAAAAACAAACCCCAGAAGATAGGACCACAATTGTTAACGTATGTTCAGTGCTTTATTTATATTTGTTCATAAGTATTAATGTGGTACTTAACTAAATTTCATCAAAATCTTTTTGAAATGTTTTTAAAAGACAATATTGCGGCTAGAAAGGTCTTTGCTGTGTAAGCTTCAGTTAGGGGGAGTATTACCACCACCCTGGCTGCTTAGATACATCAAGTGTCGTGATGGCAAGAGAAACCCCTAAAACATAGAGATTAACTGCTTAAATTCATTTACTTTATGACTCTAAGATATTTTTCCTAATTGTAAAAATAATGTCTACTTGAAAAACACTGAAAATTATAAAGACTGTCTAGTGAGTAATACCACAAAAATCTAAAGGAAATTATATTATTGGGATTTAGCTCAGTGGTGTACATGCCTGCCTGGCAAACAAAGGCCATGAGTTTGACCAAAAAATAAATATAATTATACCGAAGGGTTTGTTTTGTCGTGGCACTGAGAATTGAATCCAAGGGTGCTTTACCACTGTGCTACAGCCCCAGCCCCTTTTTGTGTTTTTAGTTTTTGATACCGGAGATCAAACTCACAACCTCATGCTTGCCAGACAAGCGCTTATGCCGCTGAGCTATATCCCGGTCCCCTTTTTTATTTTGATGCAAGGTCTTGCTGAGTTTTTCAGGCAGGATTTGGACTGATAACCATCATGCCTCAGCCTTCCAAAGCTCTGAGATTACATATGTGCACCGCAGCACCCAGTTTAAAGTTTTCTAATCCCCGTGCTCAGGAAGCTGAGGTAGGAGGATGGTCACAAGTTCGAGGCCAACCTGAGGGGCTCCATAGTGAATTCAAAGCCAGCTGGCCTCAAAAAGGAGAATGGCACACGTGGATATTTCCCCACAGCAGTCTGTAGTTTTGTACAATTCATGCTTTCTTGGTGCTGTGTGTACCTCAAAGCTACCTCACATGCTGGCTTTCAGCAGCATGAAGGAGCTTGCACCAGAAGGAGGTTGTACACACTGCTTTCTGCTTCAGAAATTGCTAGCCACCAGAGGGATGTTGGCGGGCTGAAGGGACAGTCACCGGCACATTTTAGTGCTTAGTGACCTGGCTAATCTACATACTGGTCAGTGCACCTTACCTCTTCCTGGCAGCAAAGAGTTTGCCCAGCTGCCAGTAAGCAGACCGTGCTACGAGTAGCACTTGTTTACAGATGCCTCCAGCAGGCCGGGTGTTCTTACTCAGGGCCATGGTGGGGCCGGCAGGCATGGCTGCAGGCTGCAGTCCACATCAGGCCTGTCGGGAGATGCCGTCCTGAGCCCTTCATTCCTCTCCTTCCTCCTTGAATCGAGCTCTTGGATTTTCCTGAACATTCTTGATCTCATTAAAGTTTAAATTTTGATGTTTCTGAAGGCATAGCTAATAAATTTTTTTGTTTTCATAAGACTTTCATACAGTTTGTTTTGGAAGCATATCCTCAGATTGTGTTACAGTGCGCACAGTAGAAAATAACACTTACTGGGGCTGGGGATTTAGCTCAGCGGCATAAGCACCTGCCTTGCAAGCAGGCGGTCATGAGTTCGATCTTCGGTACCGTTAAAAAGTTTAAAAAAAAAAAAAGAAAGAAAGAAAATACACTTACTGTGTATCACCTCATTGTAAAATTGAGTATCATCTGTTTACTCACTGTCAGTACCTCTTACTTTTTCTAAATCTTTAGGTAAGACAACTGAATGTGTTCCCTGGTATATTACTTTGTAATCAATAGTAAAATCTGTGGTTTAACTATCTTTCAGTGACAATCTTTTGTTCAGAGTATAAATAATATGGCTTCAAAGTGTCTTACAGATAATTATTTTCTTTCAGAATTAAAGAGGATCATGTGATTCAGCATGGGCTGGTAGTGGATGGAACCAGCCTCTCTCTTGCACTCAGGGAGCATGAAAAGCTATTTATGGAAGTTTGCAGAAACTGTTCGGCTGTATTATGCTGTCGTATGGCACCATTGCAGAAAGCAAAAGTATGTACATGTTATCAAAAGTTCATAAAGATATTCAGATCTAAAAGTACTCTCTAGGATTAATGCCTTCCATAGTTTTATTTGGTGGTATGCAATATATAAATCTGTCACTTCATGTGCTGTGAATTTTAACCATGTACATGAGATGTTCACAATTCTGAGTAAATATTCATGTTTCAGTTATTCACAGTGACCTAGAAAGTCTATTGTTTCACACTTGTGGTCTTGCTGAAACACAAATTTGAAATGCAGTAACTTACGATTACCCAAATTAGTTACTTAGGACACCCTGGAAACTTGAATTCATGTGAACCTTGAGGCAGTTCTATTGATTGCTGCTTATCCCTATGTTCTTGTGAATTGATGATTCTTTGTTAAAAATGGCTAGCAAGTGATAATTAGGACTTTTGTTGTTAAGTTGAAAGCTAGTTAACTTGTGAAGTTGTACGTAAGAAATACTTAAATTTCAGCTACCTAAATGAAAGTATATGCACATTTTTATTTTGTAATTTCACATTTGGAACATGAGCTCTTAGAGTGTATCAGTGACAAATACTGTTTGCAGTGCATGTAAATACTACTGACACTTCACAGACGTAGCTAGTAAGGCAGCCTCAGTTTTTCTTTGGTTTCATGGGGCTTTGTTCCAGTGCCTTTATTATATAAATCACTGTTTCCCAGTCTGTGTAGACTGAAATTGCAGGCCAAACAAAACTGGATACTTTAATAAAAGCACATTCTAGAGTTCCACAGAAATCTGTTTTGATTTCATATTTGTTGCGTTTTTAAAACTTCAGATTGTGTATTACAGGACAGAACAGTTGGCTTTCCTCTGTATCAAATAAAAACTACAGTTTCTTGAGAAAAGAAAGTTTTACCTGAATGAATTCAATTAACTGCATTTTTTCCACGATTATTTTTTAAAATAAAATATATTTTATGTTTTTCTTTATCATAAAATTCAAACACAGTTGCTTTGTTCTATTTCTGAAAGACAAGCCTAAAATCTTAATGAAGACATCTTCAAAAAAATGAACCCACTGCATATTATTGTCTAATATAAGTAGTTTTTCATTACTGTTCACTGTGTAGAGTTATTTCAGATAAATGACATTATACAACTTTCAGAAAGTTGAATTTTTGTCATAAAGAACTGTTTTACTACATGTCTTTCAGGTAATCAGACTGATAAAAATCTCACCAGAGAAACCCATAACACTGGCTGTGGGTGACGGTGCTAATGATGTAAGCATGATCCAAGAAGCACATGTTGGCATAGGTGATTGCTCTTTCCCTGAATTTTAAAGCTGATATAATTATTTGGTGGTTTCAAACTGTTCTTTTTTAAAATGCAGTGTCAAATATGTGAGTGACAACTAAACACAAAGTGGTAATGTGCCACCCACCATGAGGCCTCCTCATGGGAAACCGGAACCGATACCGGTGAGCCTATCCCTGGCCGGAACGTTCACTTCCACGCTGCAGAGGAAGCAAACACTGCAGTAATGAACTTCATCATTTGTCAGTTTTCCTTGATAAGAAAAGCTGCTGCTTTCACGTGCCATTTCCTACCTTGTAAAGTACTTTCACACCTTATTTTAGTCTTTAAGCTAAATTTATGATTTACATAATTGCCCTTATTTCTTATTTTAAGTAACTACTGATATGTCAAACTAAAGATTCTACAGTGTATCTTGAACATTTGAGAGATGAGAAATTATATCAAATAGTAATAAAATCTCAGAGAATTTTCTGATTTTAATAAGCTTTATTCTAATTTCTTACCTACTTTTGCCTAAGATTTTTATTAAATCCAGAGTGCTTGTGTCATTGTATTAATGATGATAAATTTATTAATCATTTCCTATTTTAACATTCTGCTCTGCTTTCTTCTATCACTTTATCTTACAAATGCAGAGCAAAAGAGAAAAGTACAGACATGAGTTTCCCCTCAAAGGATGAACCTGAAGGGTTAGAGATAGGCTAGTACCTACCCTGGAGTGCTCATTATAATCTCCTGTGATAGGTAGAGGCCTGATATTCCTGGCCCCCCCCCCTCAGATCAACTCTTCCTCTTTGGGGTAACGAATTACTAATCTGAAAATCAATTATTTCCTTTTCCATTTGTGTGCAGCACTAGGAACTAACCCCAGGACCTTTGTACTGGGTCCATCCACAGCTTTTTTTTTTTTTTAATCCCACTTGAGACCAAGTCTCACTAAATTGCCCATGATATGAAAATTTAGTTTTCTTTCTATTTTATGTATATATTTTCCCTTAAATCACTACAACAGTTAGATGACTTCCTGTGCCATATATTAAATCATAAAATAATACATTTAGAGATGTTTCAAATAGGGAAAAACGTTGCTCAATTAAAAATATCCCTAATAGTTACTTGGAAAAAGAGAATTTGGGTTTTTTTCTGTTATTTATAGCAAAATAAATTTTAGATGAATTAAGGATATGAATCCTAATTTTAAAAGATTATAAAAGGTAATTTAAGAAGATTTAATTTTAATCCTGTTATTTGAGTTGTGAAAAGAGCTTTTAAACATAATAACAAAAAAGGAGGAACATCTCAGTACATGTGGCAGAGGTGAAAACTCCCCTAAAATATATTTTGAAGATGAAGTAGTAAAAAATACTTGGAAAATACATGATAAGGTCTAATTAGGGTTACTATACCTAATTTTTGAAGTCTTAAAAAATTAAAATAACACATAGAAATAAGCAGAGGGGAGTGAACCATTAGTTGTTGTAAAATGAAAAATCCAAAATAACTGCCAAGTTTATGGAAAAAGTGTTGAGTCTCTTAGCAATCAAAAGAGTGCAAGTTAAAATGCTCTACCAGACTGACAACATTTGCAAAGCTTGAGCGCCTCTAGCTGGCAGAGATCCGGATTAACAGACGATCCCACACCACATCAGCAGGAGCAAACCGGCGCACCCTGGTGGGACACATCACAGAGCTTAGCCGTCTGCCTGAGGACTTCACGGTCTGTGCCCAGCTGTGTGTTCTCTGCTAAGAAAATGGCTGGGCATATTGATAGAGACGTGTGTTATGAACAGTGTCTAGGAAGTAACAACACAGGTCACAACAACCTCACTCCATACTGTTCACGTATGTCTATTGCACACACACATACAGGACACTCAGATTCTAAGGACATGCAGGCTAATAGTGGGCTTCTCTACATTACTTTTAAACTTGGCAATTACTCTTTTGCCCTTTTGGAATCCAAAGGATGACTATAACATTAAAAACCACATTTTCCAGCTAAAATGATTCACTGAGATAAATATACATATATATTTATCTCAGTGAATATATATAAAAATTTAGCCAGACATGGTGACTTACACCTATAATTCCAGCGCTCAGGAGGCTGAGGTAGGAGGATGGTTGTGAGCCCAAGGTCAGCCTGAGCTACATAGCAAGACCCTGTCTCAAAAAGACCAAAAAAAAAAAAAGTGTGTATGTATAAAATTTTATATTTTTTTGTTTGTTTTTGTTTTTTTTTTAATTTTATTTTGAAAGTATACAACAGAACAAGTCAGAATAAAGCCAACTAAGATCGTACAGTGAAATTGGTACAGAACTTCACAGCAGGTTACCAGATAACAGTAATAGGTATCACAGTATATTTTGTTATCTTTATAATAGTTGTTCTTTCAATCACGTATATCAAAATGAGATGAAAGATAGAACACTATAGAACTTACCAAAACAGAATATTGAATAGAGCAGTACCATTAATCAGAAAAGAGCAAACCAGTAAAAAAAATATTTGCCTTCAAAGAAATGGTAGAAGGAAGTCCCCCTTATTTGCTATGGTCAACCTTCCAGGAGATGCTCAGATTTCTGGCTCCCATTTGCTAATGGGCGGGTGGGAGGGAGGAAAAGGATAGGGGAAGTGGGATATTTGACTCTAGGCCATGTAGCAGTACGTTCACTATTGCTTGGCAGGGAGGCAGGATGGTCATTTGGTTTCACAGCGTCCTTAGTTCCAACATGGCACGGATCTCAGGAGCTGCTGCTGGTTCTCCCCCTGGAAGGGCCGCAGTCAGCCAGACCACCACCACTTACCAGGGAGGGGAGGTGTTTGCCTAGCTTCCCAGTGTCCTAAGTTCCAACATGGCATGGATCTCAGGAGATGCTGCTGGTTCTCCCCCTGGAAGGGCTGCAATCTGCCCCACTGCCTCCGCTTACCAGGGAGGGGAGGTGCTGGCTTCCCAGGGTCCTACGTTCCAACATAGCACGGATCTCAGGAGACACTGTTGGTTCTCCCCCTGGAAGGGCTGTAGTCTGCCACACTGCCTCCGCTTACCAGGGAGGGGGAAAGCACACTTAGATTATGCATGACAGGTGAAGGGTTTTTTTGTTTTGTTTTTGCATGAGCTTTTTTTCTGCATGACAGTTTTTAGACAATTAGATTTACTTATTTTAGGGTTGGTTCAGATTATTTATTTATTTATTTTGGGACCAGGGATTAAACTCCCGACCTCAAGCTTGCCAGGCAGACTGGTTCAGATTATTTAATTTGAATATATTTTACATTTACTGGAACTAGTAAAGTTAAAGCTGTTTTACAGAAATCTATCGAGTTTATTGCTCAATACTTTTTTATATTAATTGTATTTTTATTTTGTTATATTCTTATTCTGTGAAAATACAGTCCACAAAAATGTATACAAAGCTCAGAAAAAAACTTGTGTAAACATTTTAATACTAAATTTATTGAGGCATAATGAAACTAATATAAGTTATCTTTGGCCTCTGTAAGAGGTGCTCAAAAGTGTGACAATTTGTTTGCAGACATTTAGCCAGGTGTGGTAACACATGCCTGTAATCCCAGGACCCAGGAGGATACTGCAAGTTGAAGGCCAATCTAGGCTACAAAGTGAATTCAAGGCCAGCCTTAAGTATATGGTGAAACCCTGTCCTAAAAAACCAACTGTCCAAACATCTGTTAGTGCAGAGAATTGCTGCTGAGCTAGCCTTGGTCATTTAGACGCTGCATGTGCATTTTGGATTTCTTCTCAAACAGTTGGCAGTCTAGTAGGCTGCCTGTGGGACAGGACATCTAGGGTTCCCCCATATGAGTAAAACATCTGTTGAGAAAAGATCGCACTGTTTTTCTTTTCTGAAGTGTGTATATTTTTTTTTGGTGGACTCTGTAGGTATTGCATATTGTAGCTTTTTATTGTTTAAATACAATGACCTTTTGGGTAACTGCTAGCTGCTATAGAGTAAGACATTGGCAAGCCTATGATGCGGGTACCACAGTGCGCTGTTTGTTATTGAAAGCTCTAAAAGATCCACCATCATCATAATAAATTTAGGGTTCCTAAGCCCAGGTTCAGCGACTATAAATATTTACAGAGATGTAATGAAGATTACCGTTATTTATTATTGGCATGTGTACGTTTTCTTTATTCCAGGAATCATGGGTAAAGAAGGAAGACAGGCTGCAAGAAACAGTGACTATGCCATAGCTAGATTTAAATTCCTCTCCAAACTCCTTTTTGTTCACGGTCATTTTTATTACATCAGAATAGCTACCCTTGTACAGTATTTTTTTTATAAGGTGAGTTTAATATTTCTTTGATGTATCAATTTAAGGAATGCTGTTACCATACAGTTCTTGTTAAACATAGTTTCTGTCAGTAAAAAAACATGCTTTTGTAATTAGTCGTCAGTGACACTACACAACCGAGGGTCTACGGCCAGTGCTGCAGGCAGTGGAACTGACTGAGAAGGGATGTGAGAGAACTTTTAAAGCTGATGGGGAAAGTCTCTTATTTTACGGTGATGGTGGTGGTGTATAAATTATGTTTTACTCAAATTCGGTGTTTTATTCTATGCAAATTAGCGCACAATAAATCTGAGTTTTTTGTCTTGACCCAGTAGTAAGTTCTAATTTGACTCCAGTGTGATGGTTTCAAGCAGAAGTTATTAACCTTTTTTGCACCACACATGACCCGTTAGTAGATTACTGAAATGCTGTGAGCTTCTCAGCATAGAGCTTTTATGTGCATAAAATAAAATACTTAGGATTACAGAGGAACTAACAGTGCTACATACTGTTCTATCTGTAGACCTCTTGCAAAATCTAGTAGGCTATGGAACAGGTTAAGAACCCCTGTTGCCAAGACATTTAATATATAAGATGTCCATATTGCATATGTGCCTGTAATTGATAATTAACGGATATAAAACACTGGAAGTACATAAGTAGATTGCATATAACTATGGGATGATGTACAGTTTTCTTCCAACTTTTTTGTCTAGCTTTTTCCTTGTAATATTGAGTCTATTAAGATAGAAAAATATTTTGAAGCCTGGATGGTGGTGCCCTCCTATAACCCCAGCACTCTGGAGGCTGAGGCAGGAGGCCTGCCATGAGTTTGAGTCCAGCCTCAGCTGTATAGTGAGTTCAGGGCCAGCCAGGACCCTGTCTCAAAGAAACAGAAACAAACAAAAAAAGATACTGTCATCTTTGTATTGTAAAGCTATCATAGACGTAAAGTTTAATCTTACCTATTGAATACTATATATGAAAAGTCTTGAGTAAGAGTTGGAAACTTGCATTTTAAAAATTGTGGTATTGCATGGCAGTGATGGGACATAAGGGTATTTTTGTTTTGATATCTGCACTGCTCCTTACGGTGCTTTTAGATGTTGTTAATAAACAAGAGTCCTCCTTTCCTATTTAGCAGGTCCGAATGGGAAGTGTTTTTAGAAAATTTTTCTTTTAGAACTCGTATTTTAATTATATCCCACTTAATCTTGTTTTACAGAATGTGTGCTTTATCACACCCCAGTTTTTATATCAGTTCTACTGTTTGTTTTCTCAACAAGTAAGTAAATAGAAGCTTGCATTTTGTTTTGTTCTTTTGGAATAAGATATATATCTTCAGGTTTTGATACACATGTAGAGGAACTTTTTTGATTTTTGTTAGTCCTACAGAAAATTAGATAAAACTTCTCCAAGAAGTTTTAATCAACATAATATTCATAATACTTATTCCAGTTTTTAATTTGAGATGAATGTGAATAGCAACATGTGTTACAATCTTGGATGGTTTTTTAAAGTTGATACTAAGCCAGGTGTGGTGGCGCATGCCTATAATCCCAGGACTCAGGAGGCTATGGTAGAAGGATTGCTTTGAGTTTGAGGCCAGCCTGGGCTACAGAGTGAAACTGTGTCTCAAAAAGACAAAAAGCAAAATAAACAAACAAACAAAAGTTGATATTAAAAGCTCAACAGTATGTGGGAGCAGGTTAATAACTTTTTCAGCTTGTAATGTCTTATGGAATCTACATCAAGCTGACCAAATAGCTAGTAGACTGAAGGTTCACTTCCTTTTTTTTACTCATCTTGTTTTAAATTTGGAAGGAACCTTAGTGACTTAGACTAGGGATTGTCGCAGGTGCTATCCCAGAAGTTAACCTTAAATAGTTGATAGGAAAACCTAGATTTCTGTATTGAAAAGGTTTCTAAACCGTTAATTTCAGAGGGAAATACTATCATTTGTCAGCAGTCCCTGTAATGAGCATAGGGTCGGTCTCTGGTTGTACACATGTGACACGTCACCATTCCTGATCTGCTGTTTCATTTGGTAGAAAAAGAAAGTTACATCTGCAAAAATGAAGTAGCTGTCCAGAATCAGATAGTGGCGTTAATGATGAAACCATGGCTTGGACCTGCTGCTTCTCATTGAGCACCGTCTTCTCTTCCCACTGTATTCCACAAACTGAACAACACAGGGGAGCTAAACTGTCGAGACAAGAGCTGAATGAGGAGTTTAGTGAGGGGTTGTTCCTCTCCTTAATCATTGTCTTCTCCTGCTCGTGACTTGTAGCTAGATAGGCAGTGATAGACCTGTATCAGTTTCTTCACCTGAGTAAAATAAAGGATGCTGGAAGGCCATGAACTTTGATTGGGTGTTCAGGGAATCTGTGGTATAATTTGGGACATAGCATTAATAAGAATAAAAACAATACATAAAGCAGAGCAAAATATGAGTTAATACCAACACTAGCATTTTTTAGAGGAAACACTATCCTCAAGAACTTGGGCCACGGTGAATTTTTATGGAAGAAGAGAGTCTTATTCAGTGCCTTGCGAAGAGTATAGCAGCACACCTGTGTGTGTAGCATGACAGGCGTGATGGCACACACATGTAATCTTAGCACTTGGGAGACTGAGGCAGGATGATCGCCACATACAAGTTTGAGGCTAGCGTGGGCTGTATGATGAAACCCTGTCTTAAAAAAAACCTGTACTTGTATTGTGTCAAAGGAATAGTAAGAAGCCTAGAATCAATGTGGAAGTATTGTGCAACACTACATCACAAATTGTGGAGAGTCTTAAAATATCCAGTTCACTGTAATTCAAGAAATAACTGATATTACAAAATACTCCAATTCCCACAAAGTACTTAAATCTTAGAACATTATACATTTACCTTAAAAACAAGTTGGACTTACTAAAACGGATTTCAGTATAAACTGAAAACTAATTTTATGCTTATGTTTAATATGCTTCTTTGTAATTATATACATAAGTACCATACATGTAATTCCGAATCCTAAAATTCCTACCAATTTCTCTTTGTAGACACTGTATGACAGCATGTACCTGACTTTGTACAATATTTGTTTTACTTCCCTACCTGTTCTGATCTATAGTCTTTTGGAACAGCACGTAGACCCTCATGTATTACAGAACAAGCCTGCTCTCTATCGGTAAGTATTTCCCAGTATTAAATGTCCACCTTCCAGGCTGATGCAAGAATGCAGGGAACGTTTATGTGGGTTTTAAACAGTGAAAGACATGCTGCCGTTGATCTCCCTCAGAAACACTCCCCTCACTTAGAACACACATTGGTTCTGAAACAGGTTCTTACTGAATACTTCAGGCTGGTCTTAACTCCAGGCTAGACTCAGACTCAGTCCCCTGTGCTGCTGTGTTAAAGGTGTCACTCCTGGCTCTGGTTTGAACACTTACCCCCCTTTCTGAAGCAGATCTGGAAGGCTTCGTATCTTTTGAAGGTGTGATTAAAAATATAATGACTGTTTCTGCTGGGTGCCATCCAGTGGAATGAGGGCTTGTAAAACCATTCCAGCGTGTCCTTGTTCGCCGCTGGGTCTGGTTCCGTGTGGCTTCTGACTCTTCCCCAGAGTCAAAATACCAAGAAAGGTGAATGTTTAAATCAACTCAGGACATCAAATAGCCAAGCTACACACCTAAAGACACTCGTGAAAGAGGACTTTTAGAACTGCTTCAGAAAGTAGAAGGTGCCTGTGCCAGGTGTAGTGTTGCACACCTAGAATCGCAGCACTTGGGAGGCTGATAGAGAAGGGTTGCTACAAGTTCAAGGCCAACCTTGGCTACATACTGAATGCAAGGCCAGTACAACCTTGTCTCAACAACAAATAAGAAAGTGACAGGAATGATGGGAGAAGTGTGTTCAAAACATGAATGGGTGTTTTTCAAGATGGCTGTGTATCTTTAAATTTAAACTTTCACAGTCCTTTGTGTCTTGCTTCTAATTGTCAGTATATTTAATAGTTACAAAATTTAACACATACCTGAAAAATGAGTATATGGATAGTATCTTGGTGACAGATACTTTACCAAGGAAAGTACAGTAGTTACATGGCTTAAAGTTTTTTAATATAAAAAAAATTTGAGTAATTGTTCCAGTTCTATCTGTTTGGTTTTTTGGGTTTTTTTGTTTTGTTTTGTTTTGTTTTGTTTTGGTCTTTTTCGTTTTTATTGGTACCAGGGATTGAACTCAAGACTGCCTACTTGTAAGGCAGGCGCTTATGCTGCTGAGCTAAACCCCCAGCCCCTGTTTATTTGTTAAGACACAGTCTATTACAGTTCAGGCTGGCTTTGAACTCACTCTGCAGCTCAAACTGGCCTCAGACAGCAGCAGTCCCTCTGACTTGGTGCTGGGACTATAGGCACATACCGTCGGGCTGGTTTGGGAGTGAACCCTTTGATCCTAGAACTGCACTGGGCAGTTGTCTGGTTTACACACAGGGTTGCAAACCAATGATAGTTGGCTTCTTCTGCACAAAAGAAGTTACCCTCTAGTCAGCAGTCTCTAGAGTATCTAAAACACAAGCTCTTGTCCTGCTCTTGCCAACTTATGTGTAATACTCAGTACGAAGCAAATTGAAGATATGACTCCCAGGTCCCCAGGTAAAACAGAGATGCGGAACCTGTCAGGACAAGTTTTCAGTCCCTGCAGAGGTGTGGCGCTCCACTTCCACAGGTAGCCAGTCACCCGGATGCTGTATTACTTCCACTTCCTGGGTGTGGGACAGGAGTTCCCAAAGATTCGTGCCAACTGCTTCTCTGTACTGGCTGCTGTGGACCGCGGAGTTACTTAGAAGCCTCACTGCAGAGAGACTGGTGGCAGTGGTGGACATTAACAGGGTGATACTGAGAAGCTAGCTTGTCCAGCCAGACTGAAGTACTGTGTGTGTCTGTATCAAATGAGGAAGCATATCGGAGTTGGACAGCAGCTGCTGTCACAGGGTGTGGAGTGGAAGAACTTAATAAATGTGGGTTTATTCTTCTAATATTTTTAGGACCTCTTAAGTTCAGACTTCACCTTGGTTTTTAAGTAAAAGTAATAATTGTTTAATAGTTAAAGAATAAGTGAATTCTAATGTGTTCCTTTTTATCTTTTCTTTTTTTAACTTACAGGGATATTAGTAAAAATCGTCTTTTAAGCATTGAAACATTTCTTTATTGGACTCTCCTGGGTTTCAGTCATGCCTTTATTTTCTTTTTTGGATCCTATTTTCTGATGGGGAAAGACATATCTCTGCTTGGAAATGGCCAGGTAAATACATATTCTTAGAGAATGCTTGTCAGTGTTTTGTTTTGGTTTGGTTTTTGATAATTTTGTGTCATGGGCAATAAAAGTCAAATTCATGTTAAATTATATAAAAGGTCATATATATTTTTTTTATTTAAAGAGAAAAACAAAACTAAACAAAGCAAAACAGTAAAAGGCTAGAAGTAATACAGAATTTCAAGAGAAAAAAATATACAGTAAGAATTCACCAGTAAAAGGTCATATATTAAAAGTGATGGCAACTGGGAATTTAGCTCAGCAGCACAGCACCTACCTGGCTAGCAGCCCGTGAGTTCAGTTTCCAATACGTAAATAAATTAAAAACATAAAAGATTTCAAGTTTTTCATATAATGAAGCTTCATACAAATGAAAATTAAAGCATGAAGATGGCCAGCCATGATGGCATACCCCTTTGGTCCCAGCTCTTGGGAGGCCAAGGTAGGAGAATTGCCCCAAGTTCAAGGCCCACTTGAGCTACATAGTGAATTTAAGGCCAGCCTGAACTACATAGTGAGACTGTGTCTTAAGGAGGGCAAAAAAGAAAGCAATAGAATGTAATTTTAAAATGAACTCATTAAGAGATAATTTTGCTCTTCAAAAATTATTTCACACAAGGAGATACGTTACTGTCCCTGCGTGCTAACCGTCTCAGGGTGTATCAGTAGCAGTGTTCACCTGGTGCTTTTTTTTTTTTTTTTTAATTAAGGAGAAAAAGAAAAAAAAAAAAGCAGAAAAAGGGTACAAGTTATACAGAATTTCAGAAAAAAAAAATAAACAGTGGGAAATCACTAGTTAATGGATTACATATTGTCATCTTAGAAATATTTGTTCAAGTTACAAAATTAAAGCATATAAAGTGGACATTCAAACAGTGAGACTGCAAATAGTTCTGTTCAATGATCCAACAAAACTCAGTAATATCATTGTCTATCTTATACACTTAAATATACATGCAGTTATATCATTTAGAGCACTTTCTTTTCCTCTCTTTTGTACAATGACTATTACACATTTGGGGTTTTATTACTCCCACAGTTCTTATTACTTTTTTGGAAGAAAGTAAAACCAAATGTGACATAACAGAACAGAGTCTGTCAAACCAAACCATAACAGAACAGAGTCTGTCAAACCAAAACATTGGAGACATTACAGGTCTTCAAAAGTAGGTAATAGTCAACCAGAATGGACGTCATAATGAATCCCAGTATCTTCATAGCTGTTGCCTAAACTTTCAAACCTGGTACTATCAAGCAGAACAGAATAGAGGAAAATCAGTCAAAACAAGATGGTGAGAGCAATACAGGGTTTCAAATCAAGTTAATAGAAAATCAAAGTGGGTTACTATAATATATCCTGCTATTTTTTTTTCCCTTAATTAAAAGGATAAAATAAAAATAAATAATAAAATGGAGATTGAGATAAAAGAGGGCATAACAACAAAACGGCGCAGATCAAAACATAACCATTTAAGCAAAATAGTGTTTCACCACAAGATAATCCCAACACAAAAGTAGTTACCATATTGTCTCTTTCCTTGAAATCTTCAGTATAACTTTGTATTCTGTACCATCAAATATATCAAAACAATATAAAACCAAGAGAATGACAGTATTACAGTATTTAGAATCAACTAACAGAAAATGAACAATGGTTTCTGTATAATCTCCTTGTCTATAAAAGTTTTTGTTTATACTATCACATATAATAAAATCCAATAAGATACATCATGATAAGACCTATGGAGACAGAAGAACAAAATCTTGATGGGACTTCAAAACAAGATGATATTAGGGCTGGGGGTTTAGCTCAGCGGCATAAGTGCCTGCCTTGCAAGCAAGCAGTCGTGAGTTCGATCCCTGGTACTGATAAAAAGGAAAAAGACAAAAAAAAAAAAAAAAAAAAAAAAAAAAACAAGATGATATTAAATCAGCATTACCTATTATGGTGTCATTTTCTCCAAAATAGCTGTTCCTATCATCTAATCTTCTCTGCCTCATTTCTGTTGAGATCTTTTTCTGTCATTAGTTGTCAGTTTGTCTTCATTTTGTTTTCTGCTCCATTCATTGTGGCCTCTCTGCCACTATTTTTGGATTCTTGGTATTTTTCTTTTTTAGGATATCCTGCAGTATTCTCTGTAGAGTTGAATTGGTGGTTGCATATTCCCCTAGTTCCTCTTTATCCTGGAAGCACCTTGTTTTTCCATCAATTTCCAGGGATAGTTGTGCAGGATATATCAACCTTGGCTGGAGGTTATTATCTTTCTAAGCTTGAATTATTTCCCCCCACACTCTTTTGTGATTTGATGGTTTGTGCTGAGAAGTCTGTTGTAATTCTGATGGGTGTTCCCTTGTAAGTGATCTGTTTCTTGTCTCTGACGGCTTTTAATATTCTGTTCTTATATTGGATTTCTGGAATTTTGATTATTATATGCCTGGGTATAGCTCTGTTTGGGTTGTAGGTGGCTGGGGTCCTGTATCTTCATACATCTGAGTATCTTTACCTTTTGCTAAATTGAGAAAATTCTCCTGGATTATTTCTGTGAGTAGCTTTTGTAGTTCATTTGTTTGTGTCCGTACCTCTTCTTTTATGTTCTTAATTCTTAAGTTATAGATCCTCTTATCATCTTCTAGCCTTTGTATTATTACTGTTTGTTTCTTTGTTATTTTTAAGAAGTTTTTCATTTCATGCTCCCATATTACAAATCTGCCCTCCAGTTCAGATAATCTATCCTTAGTTTCTTTCAAGCTGTGATGCCAGTTTTCGATAGTTTTTAGTTTCCTGGTAATCTCTTTGAACCTGCTTCACGTATTTTATGTTTTCTCTATTTTCTCCATCAAACAATTCTCCTCTTTTTGTCTGTTCTTCTATTCCACCATCTGTTTTTTTCTTGGGTGGTGCTTAGCATTTCTCTAACTAGTCTGCTTATGTCTTGCTTCAGGTCATTAATAACTTCATTCCTGAACTCATCTATGAGGCTCTGGAGATAGCCTTTTATGTCGATTGGTGGCGTGTCTGCTGTTGCCTGCTTCTCAGGATTGGGGGCCGAGGACCCTTTCTTGTTGCTCCCTCTTCCTATATTCTTTGTTCCTTATATATAAGCGTATATAGGAGGCCCAGCTTCCTTCCCTGTTGGCCACAGTCTGTTTGAATTGCACCGGCTAGGTGTTCCCGTCCACTGCAGCGCACCAGGGAGATATGGACCGGGCAGCCTATGCTGGCCCACCCCTCCAGGTCAACCTACCAAAGGCTTCACCACTAGGGTGCACCTCCAGGTGCTGGAACCTGGGTTTTGCTAGCCTACTGGGTCTCAGCCAGTAGCATCATGTAGGCTAGGCACTGCTCACCACTCCCGTTTGTGAGAGGGATATGTGACTGAAGTTACTACAGCACCCTGTTCCGGCAAGTCTGCCCAGTCCCCGAATGTCCTCTGTTGGAGTCTCCTAGACCGTGGAAGAGACCCAGTTTTCCCTCACTCACCGGAGGTGGATGCACGGCTCCCCGCCCATCCTGGCTCTCAACTCCGTTCACTGATTCCCGTTCTCAGAGCTTTCGCGCGTCTCTCTCCCTGCCGAGCCGATTCAGACGCAGCGGCGGCAGCGGCAGGAAACCCAAATTGAGGCTTCCAATGGTGCAGACTTCAGCTTCCACACTGAGGCTTTATCTGTTCCTGTTATAGCACCAGGATTGCATTCCCAGTTGGTTTCTCTAAGCCCAGTTCGTTCTTGGGTCAGCAGGGTATATCTCCTCTTGCTTAGGATTCCTCACTCCACACCATTCCTGGATTCTAAGCTGGGTCTCTCAGAGAGCCTCCATAGCTGCTGCTATCTGTCTGCCATGTTCTCCTGGAAGCTCCCTAGTATACATTACTGTAAAATTATGGCAGTGGTCTAACATGGCAGAAGGCCAAAGTGGGAATCACTTGGTGCTTATTTTTGCACAGGTGTTCATATGCCCCACATCTACTAATCCTCACAATAATCCTCTTGGAAGGGTTTGATTACCCCCATTTTTCAGGTGAGAAATGAGGAGTTAGTGTCTATTTGCTTACCTCAGGAGTGTTACTGTATTCTGACTGCTCTAGCAATTCCCAGGAAGTGATAAATCTGTAAGTTACTGCTTCATTATGAGCATGTGTTTGAAATGTGAAATTAGGAAAGCATGCTGAGCAGCATGCGGTCTCACTGTGTCCCAGCGCCTGCTTACCGTGGAGACCCAAGCTGGGCTGAGGCTCTATTCCGGCATCGCTGGATTGAGGGGAGAGGAGACAGCAGTGACTACTGTGGCCCAGAAGTGCTTATCCTGTTGTTTCCCTTTTTAATTGGCAACACTTACTGCTTTACAAAATATGTTTGGAGACATGGACATAGAAGTTTTAGACTTAAAAAGAGTGCAAAGTTTTATCTGTTCACAGAATTAATAGGTTTCAGTTCTTTCTTTCCTACTCTGCATATGTTGTCCAAACCAATACTGTGCCAAGTGTGATCTACTGTAACTACTGGATGGAAGTTTTTCAGAAGATAGCGGTGGTCCCACGGTTTGTTACATACATTTTATAGCACAACAGGAGTGAAAGCACTCAGGGAAGCCTGTAGCTGTTCTAACTAAAGTCCCTCTGTGCAACTGGAAACCCAGCTTACAGTGCTGATAATAAAACAGAATATTGTGCATGGTAATAATAAGCACAACACTTGTCTCATGCTCATTCTTTATTTATACAGTCACAGCTTTCACGTAACTGGCTTGGGTAACTAAAATGATTTGCAGGATCAGGCGTGTGGCTCAGAACCAGAGCACGTGCCTAGCCCAGCACTGCCAAAAACAAAGATTTTTAGGAGAAATGAAATTGCTTTGCATCTTATTTAACATCATGTTACCAACGAAGTGTACTGTCTATTCTTTCTGTTTAGATGTTTGGAAACTGGACGTTTGGCACTTTGGTTTTTACAGTCATGGTTATTACAGTCACAGTGAAGGTATGGTACTAAACCTAGAGTGTGGACATACTTCATGTGTGTATAACTGATAGTTTCCTTCATGTCTTTTGCCAAAAGTATGTTTTCCCTTTTTCTTTGTCATCAGTGAATACTTTGATTACTATTTTAATAATTAATTTAAATTTTTCTCAGAAAACTCTTTAAATTCATTATTTTGGAAAGCTTCAACTGATTTTTTTAAAAAGCATTGAAATTCTGCTGTTCTGTGTATAATACAAAACAACACTTTTAAACCTTAAAACTCTGCTACTTCATAGAAGAAAAATACTGTAAATGTGAAATTACGGTTTCCTACTAGTGTCTCTTCTTTAAATTCTTTATAATTAATGTTTTATTGTTAAGCTTTAGTTGAGAGGATAAAACTTTGTTACTTTATATTTCTAAGACTTTTTAAATTTTTTTCTTTTAGATGGCTCTGGAAACTCATTTTTGGACTTGGATCAACCATCTTGTTACATGGGGATCTATTATATTTTATTTTATATTTTCTTTATTTTATAGTGGGATTCTCTGGTGAGTATGTTTTATTTTGTTTTGTGTTTTGTTTTTTGAGACAGGGTTGCTATATAGTCCAGGCTAGCCTTGAACTCACTGTGTAGCCCAGGCTGGTCTCAAACTTTTATGGCAATCTTCCTGCTTCAGCCTACCAAATGTTGAGATTACAGGGGTGTACCACCACACTGGCTTGTGTGTCACCATAGTAAATAAACATTTATTGTGTTAGGTTATAATATGAGCAAATTCTGCTTGGACTCATTTTGAGATCTTATCCTAATAAACTCATTTGTTTCCATTTATCTTACTAATGTGTAGGAAAGAAAAAAATAAATTTAACATTTCTTAAATACCTAGACATTTTATATAAGAAATAATTGACTCATCACAGTAACCTTTGTATTTTTCCTGTGTGAAAACTGAGCCTTAGGATCACAAAGGTAAAAAAGTAATTATAATCAGTGTTCTTTAGAATAACCGTATTATTTCTAAATTACTTATATATGCACTGAAATAAGTCCCATATAACCATCAAATTTTGATTGTTGAGTTAGTTTCTTTCTCAAACTTTATTGTATATTCAATAATGAAGTCTGATACTAATACATTCTGAGAGATTAAAATCCATGCTTCTCAACAGGCATGGTGATACCTGTTTATAATCCCAGCACAGTGGGAGGGTGAGACAGAAAGAACAAAAGTTCCAGCTCAGCGTGGACAGTTCAGCACCCAGCAAGACTTTGTCTCAAAATAAAATATAAAAATAGAGCTGGAAGTGCCAGGTGTGGTAGCTCATGCCTGTAATCCCAGCACTTGGGAGGCTGAAGCAGGAGGATTGCTGTGAGTTTGGAGGCCAGTCTGGATTACATAGTGAGTCCAAAGGTGGCCTGAACTACACAGCAAGATCTTGTCTCAAAAAATAAACAAAATTGGGTTGGGCGTGTAGTGTTTTGTGAAAGTCTTGGGTTTAATCCACTGTACTGAGAGTAGGGAGAGGGTAGAGATTCATGTTTCTCCTATGAATTTTTGGTAAGCACTGGAAAGTAATGTGTTGATTTGTTTTTTGGAGAACTTACATTTGCCTGTATGTCCTTGATCGATTTATCAGACAAAGAAGTTGGATTAGCTAACCATCAGCTTCCATGTGGAATCATAAAAGATGTTCTCATGCATATTATTGTAACCCTCCTGCTTTCTCCATTTTGTATTTCTCCATAGTCTTTGGAAGCTATAGATAGCCAGACTCCCTAAATAACACCACTGCAGGCTCCAGGGTCACTGAAATTTGTGCTGGGGCTCCCCACAAGGCCAAGTACCCAGGAAAGCAGGTTTTTCTACAAGCCAAGCTTGCACCACTGCCCCAGTGCCCCCCTGGAACTACGCACATCCCAACACTGCCTTTTTGGGAGGTGGGGAGTGCAAGGATTGAACCCAGGGACTCAGGGATATAGGCAATGCTCTACACTGAACTCAACCCTGTGCCCAAGGCTGCCCCTTTTGAACCCTCTTGTGGGGCTGTTTCCAGCCCAGCAAGTATTGATTGCCAGCCCCACACCTCACAGGCAGAATCTTAAGGAGCACCCTGTGATCCTGCCAGCCATTCCTGCATAGTTAATAGAGTGGCCTTCTGGATAGGCCTGAGCCCCCACACAGGCCTGAGTGCACAGATGAGAGGAGTGGGACAGGTAGAGAGACAGGCAAAGGTCTCACTCCTGACACCCAGCCTCTTAGCTGTTACCTTCAATCCAACCTGGCCTAGGCCAACAGAAAGGATCAGATATAAAGAAAGGTTGGAGGTGGAAACCTCCCCAAAGGAGCAGCCCTAGTGGCACAACATACAGGAAGCTCACCCCCTTTCACAGCTCCACCCCTGCTCCCAGCCACTATAAAGCTCTACCTTGCCTCCAGCTCTGCTTCCGGCTCAGTGTCTGTGCATGACGGACATCTGGGCTGTGTGCACAGGGCAGGGGGTGGATGCAGAGGCTGCCAGGGCTGCTTTTAGTGCATTTCTTTTAAAGAAAAGCCTCTCAGCCTAGGACTTGAATAATCCGTCATTTACTTTTCTTTAACTGATTAATTGAATCAATAAGAAATATCTTGCTAATACTATTTTCTTGGCCTTCAGTATTACTAAATTGTTTCGATGTCCTAGCACTAAGATAGGGCTATCTAGTCAATTGCTTGCCACTTTCCTATTAATAAAAATTGTGTTGCAAGCGGGCAGTCGTGAGTTCAATCCCCGGTACCGATAAAAAGACAAAAAAAATTTTTAAAAATAAAAATTGTGGTTTTTATTAAAAATATTTAAATCATTAAATTGGGTTTTATGTTTTAATAACTAATGTCTGTCTTGCCTTTACTAACTGTTCAAAGAGGTTATGCTAATTTTCAGTTTAGAACATTTTTCTGGAGTACTCTTAAAATTGCTGCTTTGAAATAAGTAAGTTTCCATGATGTCTTGACTTCAGTCATTTAGTTTGCACCTTTATTTAACCCACTGTCTTTCTCCGCAGGCCATTTTTGAGCTCCCAGAATATGTACTTTGTATTTATTCAGCTCCTGTCAAGTGGTTCTGCTTGGTTTGCCATAATCCTTATGGTTGTTACCTGTCTATTTCTTGATGTTGTGAAGAAGGTATTCGACCGACAGCTCCATCCTACAAGTACTGAAAAGGCACAAGTAAGCACCTTTTATATTCAGTAACTTTTTATTGGGAGTTTAAGTCATCAAGGACTGTGATTATAATTTGCTTTTGTCTGAAAATAGGAAATTAGGGCCAGGGATTTAGCTCAGCTTACACCTGGCAAGTGCAAGGTCGCAAGTTCAATCCACAATACCAAAAAAAAAAAAAAAAAAGGAAATTACCATCCCTGTATCAAGTATTTTGCAATATAAACATTACCAATAAATAATATATATACCAATAAATTGTCTAATTTTTAAAATTACATTATTATTGATAAACCTGCAGATTTAACAAAAGAATCTGAAATATTTTTTACAGAATGAATTTTTACTCAATGCATATGAATATTTAAATTAATATTAAATATTTGAATTAATGAATGTTAAACTAGATAGTGCTTAAGAATATGATTTGAGAGCTGGTAGATCTCATTTCAAATCCCAGTTCTGCTACTTGGCAGCACTGTGACTTTGAATCTCAGTTCCCTCATTGGTAAAATCATGACAGATGTTTTTCTTTTTTTCTATTTGTTTGACTGTGTTCTTTTTATATATTTGACTAGTACACGAGCTAGAGATCTATACATATTCATCTTTTAACTATACCATAGTATTAGGTATGTACATTAAAGAATACATTCTCATCAACTTTTATAGTCTGGTAAACATTGACTTTATAATTAGTTTTTGGCTAGGTTAATTTTAAACCTTTTTTTCAGAGTTTTTGGGTTTGTTTCATGCCAATGACTTTTTTGTGGGTTTTTTTTTTTTGTCTTTTTGAGATGGGGTTTTGCAATGTAGTTCAGGCCGGCCTTGGACTCGTTTTGTAGCCCAGGCTGGCCTTGAACTCACGGCAGTCCTCCTGCCTCAGCCTCTGAGAGTTGAAATTACAGGCATGTGCCACCGTTCTCAGTTCTTTTTAAAAACGTAGTTATACACTTATCTCCAGACAGAAAAACTAGCCCCCAGGTGTTTGATAACTTGTACTAGGGTTCCTAAGCAGTATGCTGGTCTAAGTTCAGTTGGTCAAGTCAGTCAGCACCAGTCCTCTGACCTTTACTCACTTTGGTGCTCTGTTTTGTTTGATTTGAGGCAGAGTCTTGCTTCATAGTCGAGACTGACTTCAAAGTCACACCAGTCCTCCTGCCTCAGCCTCTCCTATGCTGAGATTACAGTGGGCACCACCATGCCCAGTTTGTTTTGATAACTTAATCCTCATCAAGAAGCATTTTGGCATCATTGAGATAGTGCAGGCCTGTGAAGCCCGAAAGATGTGAATTCAAATAGTGTCTCACCCCAGATCCTTGACCGAAGTCACATTGCTAGGCTTCAGTTTCCTACTGTGTAAAGTCAGAATAATAGTTCATCTTTGGGGGCTGGGGATTTAGCTCAGCAGCATAAGCGCCTGCCTGCCTTGCAAGCAGGCAGTCGTGAGTTCAATCCCCGGTACCGATAAAAGTGAAAAAGACAAAAAAAAAAAAAGAATAATAGTTAATCCTTGATAGAAAATCATCATCATAAGTATGATGAAGATGAAAGTGTTGCTTTGTGATACACATCTCTGAGGGAGGAAATGGCATGATCTTACTGCGTCTGCCTGTGTGTATATTTGAGTCAGTATAGATAGGCTTCTGTGGATTTTTAAAAATCTAGATCAGAAAGGTTTGCCTATGTTACTGTTTCTGATCTTCAGAAATAAGATAAAAAGGCCAGGCATGATGGTGCACACCTGTAACCTCAGCACCCCAGAGGCTGAGTCAGGAAGATTGCTGTGGATTCAAGGCCAGCCTGGGCTATGTATTGAATTCAAGCCCAGCTTGAATTAGATAGCAAGACTCTGTCTCAAAAAAATAAAAATAAATAAGAGATAAGAGTAAAAGAATAAAAATTTTTTTGGTGTCAGAAGTCAAACTCAGGACCTCATACTTCCCAGGCAGACACTGTACTACTGAGCTGTATCCATAGCCCAAGAATACTAATTTTAACACTGTTTGTTGTGTTTTTGAGACAGGGTCTCACTATGGAGTGCAAGCTAGCCTTAAACTCACTTTGTACCCCAGGCTAGTCTTGAACTCATCACAGTTCCTTTGCCTCAGCCTCCTGAGTGCTGTGATTACAGGCATGCCCCAATGTGCCTGGCTATTATACTGTTTCCAAACCTTGATGGAAAGCAGTTTTTCTCCCCCTCTTTACTTACATACATATATTTGACCAAAAATGTAATGATATCACTTTGTCCTTTACACAAGTAATCAGATTTACATTTATCCTCACAAGTTCTGTGGTAGGTGCAGCATTTGCAAATTTATGTAGTTTTCACAGAGGTGTCTGACTGATATAAAAGTGATAGTAGCAGTTCTTGCTACATTCTCTCACTCTTTTTTTTTTTTTTTTTGGTACCGGGGATGAAGCTCAGGACCCTGCATTTGCCAGGCAGGCACTTGTGCACTGAGAGTTCTTATTCTATTTCCTGCCATCTATTTTTTTAATTTTTATTAGTCAGTGTGCACAGCCCACAGTGATGACACTCATTGTGGAGCGTTGGTCATGCACCCTGCACATCCTAATTCTTTTTCTGTCCCCTCCCTGCCCTCTGCCCCTCTGGTGAGTCTCTTTAAGGGATTTCATAGGAAATATTTTGTGCCTTAAGATAGACCCTTAAGAAAAACGTTAATAACACACAGAAGTATTTTGTTTTTAATTTAAGTTAAAACGGAATTTAAAAATGCAGTAAGTCAGAATTTTTACTTGCATGTGCAAGTATTAACCTCTTGGTTCACTAAAATAATTTCTAAATGACATAAGAAGAAGGGACTCTCCACTTAACACTCAGATCTAGCCTGCTGAGGTGGTTTTTTTGGTAGGCTTTGGTTTGTGTTTTGGGGGAGGTAGTTTGCTTGCTTTTATCTTTTTTAAATTGAAACAGTATATTACTTAAATCCTGTACGTGGTGCTGTTCCTTTGTTGCAGGCCATAATCATTGTTATTACAGCCTCTACCGTCACTTATGGTTTCAAATGACGGAGAAATGGCCAGAGAGTTGTCCATTACTCACTTACCAAGAGTAGCAAGAAAAAATCCTGTCCAAAGAAGGGCTGCCAGCGTTTATTCTGAGCTCTGTTTCTCTGCAGAATTGCAATGTGGTGGTCAGGTTGAAGAGTAAAATTTTTTGGTGGCAGAGCCAGCACCCTGCACATGGCGGTCATGTATGTGTACCACCTACCTGTGCTCCCCACGGGGGACACGTGCTGGGCAGAGCTTGTCCTGCGTCTGTCTCCAGGTGATGAATGCTGCTCACTGACCTGTATGTCCATCCCTTTTCTGTCCACTTATAGATGTACTCCAACACAGTCGCTTTAAGTGACGAGTTCATCGCACTGCAGCCTTTGTCCAGGGCCAGGGACCAGCTGAGCAGACTTAGGTAGAGTAGGAGCAACCTCGCTGCTCTTCTGCATGCTAACGGTCACTGAGTATCTCGATGGGCAGAGGCATGTGTAAAGAGCGGGCGCTTCATCAGCACAGCTCTGTCTCTGATAATTTGACCTTTATTAATACAGAAGTTTAAACCTAAAAAATGCATTTCTTCTTTGAGAAGAAAATTCAAATGAAATTTCAACGTACCAGGACAGATCTGTACCGTGTTATATATTTTTATGTCTTAACTTCTTCCTAGCATAATTCTAATGCTTCTGCTTGTCATGTTCATATTTAAGGCTGCTACTGCATGTTGAGTAATAAAAGCTACCGAAAATTCTCATAACATTTAAACCTTTAAGTTGTACTTGGAAGTAAGAGTTACTCTTTTTTTGTTTTGCTTTAATCTGTGTTGTGAATACTTGTGTGCGTTTGTGTTTGTACACTGCAGTGGCTAATGAACATTTCATATTCCTGCTCCTACTTAGTGCATCTATAACTTGAATGATACGCTTTACATGTCTTGTACCTTTATCTCCACAGACACATCAGTTTCCACAAAAAAATAAGCACTAGCCTAGAGATGTCTTTTGAGAAATGTGAATGAAAACATAATCCTGCAACATTTGATAGGATGCCAGATGATGTAGTCTTTAATTTTTGAATTCACTTTTGAAGAGAAAAAGTATTTTTTTGTTTTAGCATTTTTTAATTTCTTGCCCTGTTAGTGTCTTACAGATTCTTAATCATGTAATTTTTAAATTTATTTGTTTGTTTGTTTGGAAACAGGGTCTTACTATGTAGTCCAGGCTGGCCTCGAACTCATGGCTATCCTCCTGCCTCTGCCTCCCAAGTACTGGAATTCCAGATGTGTGCCACCACATCCAGCTTTTTAAATTCTTTTTTATTCTTTATTTTATATTTTATATTTATTTTATATTTTATTTTATTCTTTAAATTCTTTTTTATTCTGTCTACATGCATTCGATCAAATGAATGGCTTTGACAAGGCACCACTTAACCTTTTATGTAATCCTATGAGTTTATAATTTTGAGCCATTTTAAAGTTTTACTAAGCTGGGTGGGGATGCAGCTCACTGGCAAAGCACCTGCCTGACAAGCACAAGGTCAATCCCCAGGATCAAAAACAGTTCGGTGTTACCAAGCCTCGGGTTTTTTAATGATGTCAAGATTTTTTTAAATTCTGCTTTGAATCACAAAGATACTTAATTATAGATGAATATACATTTGGGTGTTTAGTAAATTAAATTCCATGTTTAAAGCCAGTGCTAAAATCAAGACAAATGTGAAGATTTACTTTCACTTCTGGATGAGATAGGATCTCCCAGTAATGTCAGTGGACGATTTTTCTGAAAACAGTAGCCATCACCCACATTAGTTAGCATTTATTTAACTCTGAGGCCATAGGAAAGCTCGTTATTTAAAAGAACACTGGCCAATTCTTTTGTCAAGTGAGGATAACATTTGTATCCTGAATAATACAGTTATGAAATCGTATTTTCACATCATGTTGATATTAAATCAGGCTACTCTTTGAGCAATACTAGATTTAAAAAGAA